AAACCATTGACGAGAAAATTCTAAATAATATGATTGATTCTCTGAAACCAAAGTGGTCATCCGGATATGACGAAATTCCAACCAAAATTCTAAAAGAAGCCAAATCAGACCTTGTTATTGACTAAAATTACATGTTTTGTACATTTTTTATGTTTTATTTATAATTAAATTCTATAAATCCTGTTATTTAGTTTTAAGCTTGACATTATCTTTTTTATTAAACCATTTGGCTAGTCTATTCAAAGAGTTTCCTCAAATGTTAAACAACTATATTTTATTTATTATTACTAAATACATTTTAAGAAAGGACATTATATAATATTAGGCTATAAGAAGAATGACGAAGCACCTGTGCATTTATCTGTAACCTTTGTACGTTATGTGCTAATAAACATGATTTGATTTGATTTGATTTGATTTGATTTGATTCAGTTCTATTAAAGCCATTGGTTCACGTTATAAACTCTTCCCTTATAACTGGTGTTTACCCGGCACAGCTAAAAATTTCCAAGATAATTCCTGTTCATAAAAAGGGGACACTTCAGGAGGTTTCTAATTATAGACCATTAGCAATACAACCATCACTTTCCAAACTCTTTAAGAAAAGTATACTGTACCAATTAATAGATTATTATGAAAAAAACAACATGTTAGACTCAGAACAACACGGCTACAGAAAAGACAAGTCCACCACATCAGCATTGATATCTTTTATTGAAGATATTTTAGATAATTTAGATAAAGACAATTGTGTTGTTGGTGCTTTTTTAGATATGACTAAAGCTTTTGATAGTGTTCACCATCCCACATTAATCAATAGGCTTGAAAGTAATGGTATTTCTGGTAAAGAGTTAAACTGGATTAAGTCATACTTAGAAGGGAGGAAACAGTATGTTAACATTAAATTTGTAGACAACAAAAATGAATATGATGTTAAATCTAAGTTAAGACAGGTTAAATACTCGGTCCCTCAAGGATCTGTTTTAGGGCCGTTCTTATTCTTGTGTTATATGGGAGGTATGCAGGAACTTTTGACAAATAAAATTGATAATATTAGACTATGTCTGTATGCAGATGACATTAGTATGTCAATTCATGACAAAGACAAAACTTAAGCAGAACAAAAAATGAAAGAGGCCATAACAGTAGTAAACACTTTCCTAAATGAAAGAAATCTTTTATTAAATAGAAGTAAAACATCATTGGTGAAATTTTCTTGCACAAACTTAAAAAACAAAGCCAATTTTGATAATTTTGAAGGAAAAACCAATTTTTTGGGACTTACAGTTGATAATACATTAAACTGGTCCAAACATGTTGATAATGTTTTGTAGGAAAATAAGCTCTGGAATTTTCATTATCAAAAGACTTCGCCCGTTTTGTAATGAGCAAACACTGAAGACAATTTACTATGTTCATATCCATTCACAATTATCATATGGATTAGAAATTTATGGTGGTACAAGCGACTATAACTTAAAAAGAATATTATGCTTACAGAAGGAGGCTATTAGATGCATACTAAATTTAGAAAGAGATGCCTCTTGTAAAAACTATTTTAAAGATTTAGGGTTTCTAACAGTTTATAGTTTATACATTTACAAAACAATACTTTATGTGAAAAAAATGAATCAAAATTACAGCGACAACAGGACATTCATGAGCATGACACAAGGAACAAACAAAATTTTACAGTTAAAAAGCATAAAAAAGAAAAATTTAAACAAAGACCAGATTATATTGGCATCAAATTTATCAACCACCTCCCAGAAAGCATTAGGAGAGAGCAGAGTATGAATATGTTTAAAAGAAAATTGAAAACATTTCTAATAATTAATTCTATTTATAGTAAAGAGGATTTTTTTAAACTATGAGTAGACTATTTATTTTAATTTTTTAACATTATGTGTGTATAACAATGTAACAATGACGCATTCATGTGCAGTTATGTACGTTCTGAATAAAGATTTGATTGATTGATTGATTGATTGATTGACCTCAAAACACAAACAAAAATGAACTGTTGCATATATGCGACGTTTGGTCTGTTTCAAGAAAACTATGATAATTTTCACTATTGTCTTCGCTGTAGACCGGGCGTCGCAAATATGCAACATTACAAAAGGTTATAAAAATACAAAAAAACAAGAATGAATTATTTACAAACACGATTGTAGCGTATTACAATGTAAATTATCACTGTTTTACAGGTTTTTGCCTGTGGTCTGTGTGTTCTGTTAACCAAGTGACAGCCGGTCTATGTGTAAGATTCAAATGTATACCTCGGTCTGTGGCAATGACCGCGGCGTCGCATATATGCGACGCTCAGTAGCGAACGTGTTAATTTGCCCTCTTACTCCTGCTGTGTCCAGAGCCATTGCAATTGTGTCGTGCTTTAAAGTATTCAAATGCCTTACCAAAGTCAATAAATATTACTAAAACCTGTTTTCCTTCACTAATAAGCTGTTAATTTATATAATCTGTAAAATCTAAAAGTAGCTCGTTTGTTTCTTTCTCCCTCTGATATGCATATTGCTGTTTGCTATACTATTCCTTTCTAAATGGTCAATCATATTATTTGCAATATATTGCTCCATTAACTTACTAATAGCTGGTAAAATAGATATTGGGCGATAATTCAAATAGCTCTCATGCCTTCCTGATTTATAAATTTGTCTAATTACTGCAGTTTCTAACATTTCTGGAACACAAGATGTTTTAATTGAAGTATTTACCAGTCTTATTATGGGTTCAGACAGTAAATCAGAATTGTTTTTCAGTCCTGCATGCGTATATTATCTAAACCTGGTCCCTTTTCCCTCATAGATTGTACCAATATATTAAAATTTTCCTTATTCAGGTCTGGTATGGTTAGAGTCTCCTTAAATTTCTTTTGCTCCTTATATTGTGTCACAATTATCTGACAGCCATGTAAAGAAGTATATACACATTCTGTAAATTGGTCGCCAAAGGAATTGCACACTGTTTCTATTTGTTGTTCTTACCCAATAAATATTTCTCTACGACCTCATCTATATTTATTGTTTTTTCCCCAAAATCTTATTTATATTAGGGCCTATTCCAAGTCACTTTCATATTGTTTCTATTTCTTTAGAACAAACAATAGTAAATTTATTTTAGCTATATTAATTTCTGCAACTACATTTTGTATGTTGTTTTTTCTGAATCACGTGATATAATATATATGAGGTTACATTACCTTAATCGCCAAGTGATCCATGTAGTCCAAAACTAGGATTACGTAAGTTTCGACTTCAATGCGTCATTGTCAAATCCACAAAAACTTTTTCAAACCATAAGGGTCACGTCATAGTCTTTCCGACACGCACAAACAAAACACAATAACGGGCAAAAATACATTTAAGTAGGCCTAAATGTATTTTTGTCTTTTAAAGAACAATGAAAAATAAAATTTTGAGGTTGTCCAAAAGGTAAGTCCAATGTGCACTGAATTTATGTGAGTTTAAAATACAAATTTATATTTAATTTGGAAAGAATAAGGAAAGTGAGTCCTCTTGAGGTTAACTGTAATATAAATTGGATATAAACTGGATTTTCTTATTGCATAATTAAGTTAAATTTAATTTGGATAAAATCTTGACTCATTCTTTAACATTTTTTAACTATGGCTTCCTTCTCTTCAGTCTTCTTCAATCTGAATGTTCACATGGGTCTATTGTTGAACATATGGATCACTGTTTTACTGCTTACTTGAGTTTTGATTCCTTAACACGTTCGCTACCGAGTGACGCACATTTGCGTCGGTCCGGTCACTCTTACAGACTAAAAGGAATGATCATGACGTTGCTTACAGACCAAGTGATATAGGAATAACATTGCCGAGAGACCAAAAGAGAAATATCGTTTAAATGGACTAATTGACTTCATAATAACCTTAAGTGAATTAGTAAGCAATAAATATTGTTTTTATTTTTCGTTATGAGCAAATTTTAAAACGCCGCATATATGCGTCGGACAGTCTATTTAACGAAATCCAGTTAAAAAGATTACATTTTCGTTTCAATAGACCAGGCGACGCACGTAAGCGTCGTTGTAAATTTGGTTGTTTCAAGCTTTTACATAAACAACTAAAGAAACTCCACTAAACACTAGCCAAAACTGCAAAGGTTATAACGTTTACATCTGTTCTGTGATGTCGCGGAATACACAATGTAAACAACAATGTTGCCAACTGTTGTGTGACGTAACCAATCGTCATATCCACGGACCAAGCGACGCACATTTGCGGCAGATATCCCTCTAGACCGATATGATAAAATCCGTGCTCTAAAATAGACCGTTGCTAAGAAATACGCTGTTTAATAACATTAGAATACCGACGCAAATGTGCGTCGTTAGTCCATTTCAATGTGACCAGCTGACGCAAATATGCGTCGGTGGTCTATTGTGAGAAACGAGTTGACGCACAATTGCGTCGCTGGTCTATGCGAACGTAAATTCCATATAATTGTGGTAGAGAACGTGTTAAGGACTAATTTTGAAATTATAACATAAGAAATTTTGATGTATTGCAATTATCTTACATATTTAATAAATAACTAAGTTGTGGGTTTTGTAAAAAAATATATAGGCTATGGAATAGATATTACTAATGATTAATTGAACGTAGATTAGTGGATTGTATAAGGTAAATGAATACTAGGTCAGCCTTAACATTATGGATCTGGATGACTTTCTGAGAAGTGATTAACAAAGGTGTATGAACAAAAATTAACATATTTTAAGAAACTTAATACTAAATGATGAATGAATGAAATGAAATATTACAACTCGATTTGTCTCAATTAAGTTTTGAATGATATAATACACAAAATTTCTACTAATGAAATAATATTTAAAAAAACATTAAGTTTATATCATTTTACTGAAGAGGGCTCTTAAAGCCTTAATTGAAATCCCAGTTCTGTAAAAGTTGTGCAAGACTATTTTACAAAATTCAAAATCAAATTAAAACTCACCAACATTGTGTTGTTGTTATGTTGGATTATTGCATGGATAGTTTCAAGTACCCAAGGTTTAGATGCACGAAAGTCGATGTCCCATAAGTCAGCTACAGTCACGACCCGTAACAACTTGCCCAGTAAGTATATACCATCCTGTGTGGTAAAGAGTGGATTAGTTGGCATTAGTACATCATTATTTTAAACTCATCAAAACAATAACAAAAACACATATACAGTAAACCTTCGATAGTTCGACACTTGATAATTTGACACGGGCTGAGCTATTTTGTCAAGTGATATTTAATGGTTGCTATTGTGATGTAAGCTGACTTGAAAAGTTTTTTGGAGATTTTACAAATGTGCAGTAAACTGAGTCAATATCCACAATATCCAGTGGTCATGTTGCTGTAGTATGTTTTTACAATGGTTTTACTTACGAATCTTATGATTTTACTTTCTTTGTTCTGTAATAATTTTACTAAAACTACAGTTGGAAAATTGTCACCAGACATTAAGTGGGCTCTATCCAGCGGCCTGGATTTCAATTCAAGATGGCGGATTATATGGCTTGAAATATAGTTCTGGATTGAACAATGAACATGCCTCTATTGTAAAAAAAACTCAACATTCTAAAACTAATTTGTTTCCAATGATTGTGTACTTCTTGTGCTCTAAACATATCAGAGCTCGCAATGAATGGGGAAACTAATGTTTAACTATTATTTAGAAGTTAAATCACATGTTAAAAAGACTAATTTACGGATTTTCAAAACGATTTTGTAAATTTAAAGAAACAATTACAAAGTTTCAATTCAAGTTTACCCAGTGCATAGTTTGGATATTTGTAAATAATTTACAGGTTATTTCAACTCGATGCCACAAGGTTCTTTAATGTGGACCAAGTTTACACGGTAACCAGCCGGTGGGTGGAACCCTCTTAAAAGTCAACGTTAACACTATGCTCTTATTTTACGTAGCCGCTAGTGTTTTTAAAACTCCAGTTAACTTCTTAATAGACTTATATCACAAAGTATTAGTATAAATGAAAGCTTTGATGTAGAAAGTTATTAAAACAAATATACATGCCATCTCTAAAGAGTAATTAACATGTTCACTGCTGAAAACCTTTACACAGGCACTCCTAAACTGCGGCGAGGCCCGGGCGGAGCCCCGGCACGCTAACTGAATCAGCGAACGCTATTGGCATTGAAATCTCAGTAAGACGAATCACAAAAGAGCAGTGGTGATTGTTCTGCGATTTTACCCCGAAAGTGGTTTTAGTTCACTGAAACACCCAAAGGTAGCAGCACTGCCTGGATCAATAACCAGAGTCTTTGTAATATGGCTCAAATATAGAAAATCTCCGAAAACGGGACAAAAAAAAAACATCGCCAGACGGGATTTTACGGGAATGTTTAGTACCAACCTACACCAAAATAAAGCTCGCATTTTAAGCTACAGGCTGGCAACAATTACAACGTTACTTGGCCCGGCAATGGCTGAGCTCACATTTAAGCAAAGTTCTTGGCATTGGTGAAGGACGACATTTCCTGCCCCGCACGAGTGGCGCCGGTACCGCGGGGCAGGAATTCCCGCCCCTCGCACTGAACGTGTTAACAAAATAATAAATGCATTGAAAATTTATACTTTTTAAACAAAAATATAGTTTTGATACTGTTTTAAAATATCCCACTGCTATGAAATGACTTAACTGAATAACAAGACATCATGTTGGTCAAACACTGTTTCAGCTCGCAGACAGTTTAATTCAAACCGTTGATAGATTCTGAAAAGTCTTAAGATGTTAAATGGCAAACAAAAATCAAAATCTATGTTGATATAATAATTATTTTTAAACAGTTGTATGTTAGAGTTACCAGTTTCAGATCATTATCCATCCTCTTCCATATTATCTTCTGGATAGCTTCACTAAGTTCCATTGCACCAAACTCCACCCTACAATCAGCCATTTCACTGGCTAACATCTCATTAAAGTCTGCAGCAGTCAGGGTAAGCTCTGCTAGACTTCCAACCATCTTTATTGCATTGCACGACAACTGTCAAGATAAAAAAAAAATAGCTAAGATATCACAAGTAAAATAAAGCTCCTTGTAACTAATGTACTACTTTTGTAAGCACAAATAGTGCATACCTAAATCATGTAAAACCTGTACGTTAATATTGCCAATATATATCATTCATTCAAGATTACGGTTCACAAGCATCACCACCGTTAATCTTTTACTTATACATTTTTTGGTACTTATTTTTGTTTTAACCTAATATTACAAAATCACTTATTGTTGGATACTGCTTGATTTGCACATAAACAATTTGACTTGGAGACGAAAACTATACTTTAACCCTCAAACTAATATGCTATCTCGTGGTCTAACAACCAGTTAGAATTATACCACTCGGCAGAAATCAATGACCTAGAATGATTCAGTTTAAGTAAACATGTTTTTTTTGTTGTTTTTTTTTCTATTCTGTTGTTAAACTAGATAACCTGGGCTGATTTTTCCATAGCTAAATCCAACCAGAAATTTGTCAGGAATCTGGGTATTTTTTATCTAACCAATTATAAAACATTATAACGTATGACAGTACAGCAGGAACCTAAAGCCTATCTTCTGAAAACAGGCAGGGGAGCCAGAAGTAGCAAAGAGGTTGTCACAACGTACCTGTCACAGTGTACAGTCATATTACACCGCATTTGCTCAGGATTTCAAGGTACTTGATCGTCTACCAAGGGAGAGTCGGATAAGACAGGAGGTCACACCCCAAAGATAGGATAGTCAAAACACTACTGTAGTAGATAGGCCTTTGATAATTTTCATATTATAAAATACTTTAACAGAGTACATACCTTTGTTTCTTTTGAATGGAAGAATATACTCCTTTTCTTTTTCCTAGCGTTGTTGGGATTCACTAAGATTCCATGTTGGCTGCTAGAATCTTCAACTATTTCTTCTTCTTCTTCTTCTTCTTTATCATCTTCAAACTCCTTATTTTTATGATGTTCACCAGGAACATTGCTGTGGTATTTTTCCTCCGTAATATGATAAATTTTGGGTCTCAGTGTACTTTCTGAACTGCTTTTATTAGATGGTGGAGTAGAGTTATTGATCAGGTTGTATTTGTAAACAGTATTGTTCTGTGTTTTGGACGAGAATTTGGCTTCTTCAAAACTTGTATTAACTGCAATTTGATGTTTTACTTGGTCTATGTGCATCTTTCCGGGAATAAAAGAGGCATTCTGAGATGATGAGCTATTAAATTTGTCCGAAATCAAATATTCTGTTTTAGAAAACGTTTGAGTGTCAGAATTATTACTACTAGTACTATTGATGTTAATTTCAGGCTTATATGTTTTGTTTTGTGCATTTGTAAAGGATTCAGTTGTAGTTTTTATTATAAATGTCTCAATTTCAGTTGAATTTGAATTGCTGCTTTTGTTTTGACATTCATCCTTATTAACTGAATTGGTACAAAGAGGTGCATAATTGGTATTATTAGCATTGCTATGTAAAATAACACTTGGTTTAGTTGTGTAATTTCTTTTAAACACATTAGTATTGCTTACAGATGGTGTAGTTCTATTTATAGGTACAGGTACTCCCATTGTGGTATTTGAGACTGATTCATTACTTTCTCCAATTTTTAGTGTCATTGATGTTTCTTCTGTAAAATTTTCTTCTAAGATTATTTTTGTTGAAAATTTTTCTTGAGTGTCATTTTTGGTCTCTATATCTGTGTGTGTATCAGGTAAACTTTTCTCAGTTGAAGATTTTTCTGCAGTTCTACTTATTTCTGATGAAATATCTTTTGTTTTACTTTCATCTTCAGAATATTTCTCTGGCAGATTACTTTGCTGTGATACACTTTTTGCAGCTGTACTTTGCGCTGATGAAATTTGTACAGTTGTACTTTGCTCTAATGTAATAGTTTCTGTAGTAGGCCTACTTTTTTCTGTTATAACTGTTCCTGTTGTACTTTTATGTGTTGTATTTGTACTTTGCACTGATGAAATTTGTACAATTGTACTTTGCTCTAATGTTATCGTTTCTGTAGTACTTTTTTCTGTTATACTTGTTCCTGTTGTACTTTTATCTGTTGTATTTATTTCTGGTGTTCTTTGCTCTGTTGTACTTGTTTCTGGTGTGCTTGTTTCTGTTGTACTTGTTTCTGTTGTACTTGTTTCTGTTGTACTAGTACTTTCTTCACTTGTGCTGGTTTCAGATGTGCTGCTTTCTCTATTTATGTCATTGACTTCACTCTCATCATCACCATCTGTGAATTCTGTCTCCATTTGGGGATTGAAAACTGTAAGAATAACCTTTGATCCATCATCTCGGCTCAATAAGTTTTCAGGAGTGTACTTGTAGTTTTGTTTAATATCAGCAGATTGAGGCAAGGAAACTACTGAATCCAGCAGTCTCTGAGCAGCTGTTAGGTGCTTACGTGTATATCTACTTAAAGCACTCTTATATTCATTCTCCTCCAATTCTCCTAGTATAGAGGCACAAACCTACAAAAAACCATATGTAACATAATTTAATACATTTCAAAAAGGAGAAAAAGCTCATAAATATTGAAAGTAACAATAACTTGAGATGTCACTCATTTACTGAAACCAGGAAAATTGTATGTAGATTCAATTTTTTAAATCGTAGATATAGTTTTTAAAAATCAACACCACTAAAAGTAGTAAATATGAGGGTTGTCCATAAATTCAGGTCTACAACAAGGTCCAATCATAGCTAAGCAAGCCAATTCAAATCCTATACCAGGACAGGGTAACCTGCTTTACTGGGCAATTGACTGGGCTATAGCCAAGAGTGCCAAGTTTTTACAGGTGCCAAATTTTCCAAAATTTTTGTACGGTATTGATTAGTTTATTTTGCAAAAAAACATACAAAAATGTACAAATTTCAATCTGTATTTTAACCTGAAAATAGCATTAAAAGTTGTTTTTATAGCTACTTTTTTAAAATAATTTCTGGGAGAGAGGTCCCAAACATGTTTACAGCCTAGGTATACAAGGATTAGAAATCTAACCACAGAACTTGATTCTTATGAGACAGGAGCGTTGATTCTTGCTTTTATTGTTAATGGCTGAGATAAGACCAATCGTCTTACAGGGGTATTGGGAGAACTAAAGTACACACTAAAGTATGACACTGGCATGCTGGTGTTGGATTTAACTACCTCACGGGGCTACTACTAATTAGAGACCTTAAATTCTAGATAAATTTATTGTTGTTTACTATATTTATTTTGTATGTGATGACAATTAAGGATTATCCATTGTTTAAAATCGTTGAGAATGGAATTTTGAATCCTATTCCCGTCAGCTTGGTTTAATAATTTTCTATAAAGAAACATATTTGCTAAAATCTGCTGCTTTAGTTACATTTATGCAGAATGTTATAATACCAGGGCAAGATGAGAATGTTGGAAGATTTCTTTATTTCCAATATGCATACGTTATAATTATAGCAGTTATGGTTATAGCAGTTATAGTTAATACATCTAAAGCAAAATCAATATTTTTCCTACAGTCACCCGACAAAGTTGGCTTCCTTGCACTAATTATAGTACAGAAAGCTGCTGATTGCTGCATTGCATTTACTTACTTTGTCACAACCGTTTATACTTTGTCGCACGGTTTATACTTTGGCGCACCCCAGGATTCCAACCAAACAACAAAATACAGTAGGGTTTTATTATGCACATAATCTGTAGGGGCAACTCCAAGAATAATATTTTGGGTAGGCCTGACAAGGATCAAGAAGAGTTTGATCGGGGGTCGAGAGGTTTGAAGGGCTTCCCCGCAAAAGGGGGGAATTTTAAAATTTAAATGCAAAATAATTAGTTTGAATGCTTCTTTTTATTTACATATAATTAAATTTCTTTATTTATTTATAATTTTGAAACATCTACCAAAATGTTGGGTAGGCCCGGGCCTACCTGGCCTGCCCTCTGGAGCCGCCCCTGAATCTGTGTACGCTTGGAAATAGGTTGCCAACACTTAAAGATACTATTACTATGATCAGCTGATTGACTATTTATACTACAATTTAACCTGTCATTTTGTGTTTATATTCTATTTTTGTTCAACGCTTGGTTTGAACATAAAGTTTAGTATTTGAAAGATGAATTTTAAGTGGGCCTAACATGTTTAAAAATAATGAACTCGTGAAAGTGATTGTGAATATATGTGTAGACCAGAAGAATTAGCAAAAACTGCAAAACATGTTTCATTAAACCTGTTACCTGAAAAATCAAGAAAAAAGTATGAACGAGCATACTAACTGGTTTCCTCTTGGTGCGTAAGTAAGAGAATTACAAAATTGTCAGAAAATATGTTTTATTGGCATATTTTGCAGAACAATCTACTTGTTTATTCTGTTTATACTGATTATTACTGTTTATAAGTGTATTCTTGCAAATAAGTAATACTTAAATATACTACGACTACTACAATCAGCTGTTGCAGTATTTCCCATTCCTTTCAATGCTTGGGTTTAACCTAACCTAAAAACGTGTTGTAAAGTCTTTGAAAGACTAATTATTTATATGCTTTATAGTGACTGTAAGAAAAATATTATGTGTAACACGAGCGCAAATGGCCTTTGCTGCACTCGAGATAAATTCCGTACTCGCCTGTGGCTTGTGCGTAAACATTTATCACGTGTGCAGCAAAGTGCCATCTTTGCTCACTAGTTACACAAATAACTATTTCCTACAGTCACCCGACAAAGTTGGCTTCCTTGTACTGTTTATAGTACAGAAAGCTGCTAATTGCTGCATATTTATACTTTTTCGTACGGTTTATACTTTGTCGTACGGTTTATACTTTCGGGCACATCAGGATTCCAATGAAACAACACAAAACAGCGTGGTTCTATTATGCACGTAATCTGTGTACGCTTGGAAATAGGACTCAACACTTAAAGATAATAATACTATGAGCAGCTGATTGACTATTATAACTACGATTTAACTTGTCATTTCGTGTTTATAGTTTATGTTCTCTTTTCGGTATTTCTGAACTTTCTGGACTTTTCAATAAATGTTTTTAAAACACTCCTACGATCTTAATAAACAAGAAAATACCTTTAAAGCATTTTTTAGGCGCGGAAACCACTGCAAATTACAAAAATATACGGAACTATTTCCTTAAGGGAGCACATTGCTTGCCGAGGAAAAAATAGCGGAGTGATACAGACCGGGAACTACTTTCTCTAGGGCACCTATTTGTGTTGCCAGCTGAACCTAAAAAGGTGTTGTATAGTGTTTGAAAGACTAATTATTTATATGGTTTAAATAGTGACTGTTGGAAAAATATAATGTGTAACACGAGTGCAAAAGGCCTTTGCTGCACTCGAGATCATTCCGAGTAAACGTTGCTCTCGTGTGCTGCAAAGTGCCACTTTGCTCACTAGTTACACAAATAACTATTGGAGTTCCCACCACTATAACACTGAAACCAAATTTCAACTGTTTAAAAATAATCATATTTAATTTGTTGTTTTTTTTTAAGTTTGTGGCCACAATTTTGTAAAATTTTCTAATTAACGAGGGCAAGAGAAAATGTTAAAGATGACATAATAATAACATTTGAACAAGTATAACCTTATAGAAAGTGGACGGGTTGACCCAATCCACAAGGTCATTGTAGTGAGAGACGAGACTGTCAGCTGCTTTAGTCCAAGATGACTGAGGGATCCTGTTTAGCTCTTCATCATTGAACACCACCAGCAAGTCTTGCAGAGTTGCCAACACTCCTGCACTCCACTGTTCAGGTGATCTACATAACACACACCAGTACGAGTAAAGAGTCGAACCACAAACAAAGGTCACTGATATGAGTTTGTAAAATGTACTGACAAATTTGGATACCATAATACACTAGTTAATACCAATCATGGGGATACTGAACAATGTAAACCAAATATTGAAGTCATGGTGCATATTCAGAAAAGACATCTGAGGATCAAAAGATGGTGCATAGAAGGTGTATTTTAAAATATATAATAAAAAACATAATGTGTATGATAGTTTGAGAGTGTACAGATTTTTAGGTTTAGCCGACGGGCTATTTTGTCATCACCTTGTAGCTCGTTACAAAGCCTTTAGTACGATAGATTTGAAAATTGCCTACCATCAAGTTTCTATCCTTGAAAACAGTGACGGATATAGATTATTCTTTTGGGGGGGGGGGGGGGCAAGATTAGTTTAAGGTTAGATTAATTAATTTCAAGCAGACACACCATGATAATTTATCTCAGTTTTGCTGCGGTGATTTGCGCTAAATGTGACTTTTACTTTACCAAGATCACGCTGTATCATTATATTGTTCCATTAACATTAAATCATAAAAATGTATCTATTCAAGCCAAATAAATAAAATATCTCAATTACAAAAAAATAAATAAATAAATAATAAAAAATAAACGGTATCAGCATTCTGACACATACTTTCTCCCATAAGTTTGTCAACAACCTTTATCATGTGTAAGCGGTGAGAGTAAATATACGGAAATGGGATTTGTAAGATTTTCTTCAGAATTTAAAGGACTATAACATACTACATTTTTATCAAAATCGTTCGAGCCAATTTTGGGAAAATGTGATTTTCCGTTATTTTGTGGGGTTTTAATGGGAAAATAACATAATTTACAATAACTTTTGAACCGTAATTTTTACAGAGATGGGATTTGTACCATTTTGTTCAGAATATAAAGGACTATAACATACAAAATTTTTATCAAAATCGTTCGGGCCATTTTTGGGAAAATCTTATTTTTCCGTTATTTTATGGGGTTTTATGGGAAAATACCCATTAAAAATAAGAATTTCTAAAAAATTAAAAAAAATATCATAATTGTAAGGACCATAACATACTATGTCAAATAAAAACTGGATTTTTGTCTAAAATCCTATTTTTCGTTATTTTATGGGGTTTTTATGGGAAAATAACATAATTTACCATAACTTTTGAACCGTAATTTTTACAGAAATGGGATTTGTACCATTTTTTTCAGAATTTAAAGGGCTACAACATACTAAATTTTTATCAAAATCGTTCGGGCCATTTTCGAGAAAATCTGATTTTTCCGGTTTTTTATGGGTTTTTATGGGAAAATCCCCATTAAAAATCGAAATTTCAAAAAAATGAAAAAAACGCCTGGAGATACCATGAATTAGAACCTACATACCAAATTTCATCGAAATCGGACCACAGGTGTAGTCTCTAGCTCTGTACACATCCAGACACACAGACACACAGACACACGGACACACAGACACACACACACGCACACACACAGACATCACTTTGAAAACCACTTTTTTGGGTCCAGGGGGACCCAAAACGAATATATCCACTCAAAACTCAAACTCGAAAATTTTGACGAAAACAATACTTTCTCCATATACTATGGTATAGGGGGAGAAAGTAAAAAACATTGGTCAAAGATTTAACAGGTTGTCATCCCATCTGTAAACACTTATCCGAATCCAAGGAGTCAAATAGCGAATGTGATTATCATATTCGGAGGGGTTCTAACTACTGTATAGGTATTCTTTTGTGGGAACTACAAAACGTTAACATTTTAATATAATACAAGCTGCTATACCCGTGCTTTGCAACGGGGAGAAAATGTGATCTAGAGAGCTATTGAAGTAGTGCTGATGCGTGTTTTAAAATACAACAACTCTATGATTTAGTTTGACAATATAAACTGATATAAAGTGTAAACCTACTTACTTTCAAACACCTACTTTTAATGTTAATATAGATCCAAAAGAATATGACAACATACCTTAGTGTAGCAATAGCATCAATTGCTTTATATTGATGCTTCATGAATGACATGTTTGACCATAACCCTTCAATTTTGGTCAAGCCTTTTTACATGTAGCTTACTATATAAATTACAAATTGAAACTTTGAGCAATACTTTACAAAACGTATACAACCTTTCTTTAAAACCAAACATAACCCTCCTAAAACTACATAAAGCATCACAAACAAATTTTTCGAGTAAATAAACAAACACCACTTCATTGTACTGACCAGTTTCATTAATTAAATTGAATTAAATCATTTAATCTTTGGAAGCATGCCAGGCGTAGCCCTTTGGAAATCAGCCTGTGGGGCAGAGCCCTTAGGAAATTCATCCATATCAATACTTTTCGGCAAATCTACACACTCCAAGCTTCATTTTGATGTGCCATATGCCTATATTTTTATTTAGTAAATGGCCTTAGCCGTTTACATAAAATTTGATTGTATCACTTTAATAATATAATAGATATGTCAAACAGATGTAAATAAATAACAAACAATAGCAATGGCTACCACTGAACTGACTGAACTCTTCATTACTCCCCTCCCCTGTCGCCGGTAGATATGCTAGTCTCTAGCGGTCACTGCTGCAAGTGTAGATGGCCGCGTGGCAGGCGGAAGTTCGAGTCGGTCTGAATCAACCAGAACTCGCACAAACTATCACTGTCTGCCACGGTGATGACTTCGCGCATGATTCATGATAAATAATTTATATTATGGTACCTTTTTTTCTTCATTTCTATTATTTCGGGGGAGGCACCCTGCCCCCCCCCCTTATATTCACGCTTCTTGAAAATGACCGCTTCCGTCTCATTCTGAATGTGATAGATAGTATTCACATTTATCGTTTGTTTTTCCCTTGTCGCGATACTTTCTTTCTTCAGTTTCTTCAGTTATTTCATGTCTTCCAAAACTGTATGGTGTTTTTGGTGCTCCATCGTCCATTAATCTGACTGAGGTTCGGGATTCATGTTGCAGGAATTGAAAGATGCTTCATGATTTTGGGCATAGCAGCCAGTAGGACTACTCCATACATATAAATTCAACCGGAGTTTAAAATTCGATCCATTAGTAGAAGAAGTGACACTCTTGGAGGGAAATCCTCATTACGCCCATATCAGATATCAACATGGAAGAGAAACTACTGTTTCAATATGCCTTCTTGTCCCAGAGCCAAACACTGACAATAACAATAACAATCTACTAGATGTAGATGAGATTGATGAAAATACTTCTGATACTTTTACTCTACAAGATTCTGGCCCTACTATCTAACTATCCGAACCCATAGTGAAAATCAATTGAAAAATAACAAGAGCCCATTAGAAGAAGTAATTGACCCCAGAAACTACCAGTCTATTTTAAGGACTACTTTCATTATTAAGGAGGGAAGAATGTTACAATATTTTATACTCTGTTCTTCCTTTGTGTTGATTATTTTGTTAACTTGATAACAGTTTGTTCAAACTCCTAGTATGTTACAAGTGTGTTATTCTTTAGTGAACTTCAGCCTTTGTTCATGTAAATAGTCTCATTCTGATCAAAAATGTTTAAAATATTTATGAAAAATATTTAATCTCCAGTTTTAACTGTGGATAGCACTATTCTATTCTATAGCACTATTCTATTCTGGGGTGCACAGAAGGAGCCTCCCCGAATATTGTGTACATTACATGCTAAGAACGACATCACAATCGGGCGCACCCCAGGCAACGCTGACATGTCAGCGGCAAATCCTTCTACAACCGGAAGACTTTGAAAAATGAATCTGCCTAAACGGTCTTTTTCAAGGCCATTAGTAACAATCTCGATTAATATCAAGGGAATATCGAGAGACAAAGAAATATTACTGTCTGATATGTGCAAGACGCACGAATGCGACTTCCTCCTTGTGCAAGAAACACACCGGGGCATTTTAAAACCTACACCCAACATAGAGGGAATGAGACTGATTCTAGAGAGACCTCATGATCAATATGGTAGTGCTGTTTTTGCCAGGCCAGACATTGACATCATCTCAGCTTCGCTGACTGAGAGGAGCAATACTGAGATAGCGGTCAGGACACCACAGTACAGTGTCACCTCTTTGTATAAGCCTCCCGAATCTCAGTATGTATTTACAGAGCCCGATAATCTATGCTATGATGACATTAATTTCGTCTTGGGGGATTTTAATTGTCAGAGCATTACTTGGGGATACAAAGAGACAAGTGAAAATGGGACAAAACTTGAAACCTGGGCTGAGGGAAATGACCTGTAGCTTATACACGATCCTAAGCTCCCTTCCTCCTCGGTAGATGGAAGAGAGGTTATAACCCTGACAACATCTTGTGAGCAGCAGGATTGCCTCACAGTGTGAAAAGTCTGTAGGTGATCCAATTCCCCGAACTCAACACAGACCTATAGTATGCACCGTTAGTGCTGTTGTTAAACCTGAAGTTGTTCCTCTAAGGCGCAGGTTTAATTTCAAAAAGGCCAACTGGACGGGTTTTAGGTAGATCATCGCCAATATCCCTTCACAATCTGATATGTATGACTCCTTCGTCAAGCTTGTCCAGCAGGTTTCGAGAAAAATGATAGAGGCTGTCCAACCCATTACATCGCAGGACTCTCTGAAGAGGCAAAGCCACTGCTAGAACGATACCAAGGTCTCTTTGACAATGATCCCTTTGCTGAGGACACACTTCTAGCAGGTGAAGAGCTTATGTCAGTCATTGCCGAAAATCGCAGAACTAAGTGGTGTGATCTTGTGGAGAGTTTAGATATACAGGTGAACAGCAGACGAGCTTGGAAGTTCCTCAAGAACATAAATGGAGATGCGACAAAACCAAAAGACAACTTTACAACAGTTACTGCCAATCAAGTCGCTACCAACCTTCTTTTAAATGGCAAAACCTATGGAAGGAAATACCGGGAGCCTGTTGTGCGTGATGTGGCAAATGAGAATCACTTCCTGGAAGAAACATTCACCATGTCCAAGCTAACTGCAGTCATTACCAGCTTAAAGACTAATAGAGCTCCAGGTATTGGCGAGATCAGAGTCGAACAACTAAAGAACCTAGGTAAAAATGTCATACAATGGTTGTTGAGCCTCATGAACATGTGCGTAAGCTAAATGCATATACCAAAGATATGGAGAAAAGCTCTTGTGGCTGCACTGCTCAAACCTGTGAAAGATCCAAACGATCCTAAGAACTTTCAACCTGTTTCTCTCTTATGCCACACATATAAAATCTTAGAACGTGTGATACTCAATCGAATCGGCGATTTTCTGGAACAAAAGATCATTCCACAACAGGCAGGCTTTCGAGCAGGAAAGTCTTGTTGTGGCCAAGTTTTAAGCCTGACCCAGCACATTGAGGATGGGTTTGAGAGAAAACAGATCACGGGTGTCGCTTTTGTAGATATCACAGTTGCCTACGATACCGTACACCATCGAAGACTCTTGGGAAAAGTGTACAGCATTACCAAAGACTATCAGCTGACTTCAATGATAAGCACTTTTCTTCATAACAGGCGGTTTTTCGTGTCACTTCAAGGCAAGAAAAGTAGATGGAGGAATCAAAGAAATGAATTGCCTTACGGTAGCGTCTTAGCCCCAGCTCTTTATAACATATACACTAACGACCAACCGTTGCCAAACGCTACACGTCAGTATATATATGCCGATGATACGGCGGTGGCGGCACAAGGTAGGAGTTTTGAAGAGGTGGAACAGAAGCTGACTATGACTCTTAATGAACTTTCCCAGTACTATGACGCAAATCTCCTCAAGCCGAACCCTGCTAAGACCCAAGTTTGTGCCTTTCACCTAAACAATAGAGAAGCAGGCCGTGAGTTGAATGTGAGGTGGCGGGGAGACCGTCTTCAGCATTGTCCTACACCCAAATATCTTGGTGTCATACTGGACCGCAGACTGACATTTAAGGCGCATTGTATTGTGACAAGAGGTAAAGTATCAGCGAGGAATAATATCATCAGGAAGCTCACCAGCAGATGCTGGGGTGCTAAGCTAACCCTAATGTCCTCAGAACCTCAGCTTTAGCGCTCAGTGTGTCGGCTGCGGAGTACGCTGCACCAGTATGGGATGCATCGTCAAATGCAAAAAAGCTTGACATTGCAGTCAATGACATGGCTCGGATTGTAACTGGGTGTTTGAAACCAACCCCAGCACACAAACTCTATCCTATCATAGGGATGCCCCTCTATCAATCCGACGTGATGTGGCTACCGACGCAGAAAGAGAAAGGACTAAGCAAGAGACAGACCCTCGTCACCCATTACACAGCCACCAACCGGCAGAGCGACGGCTTCGGTCCAGAGAGAGCTTTTTATCACGGACACGAATCCTGGATGAATCACTCTCAAGCAATCGGGTGGCAAGGTGGGAGGCCACGTTGACTAACCCACCCACACCAGCCAGGGAGGAACTGGCTCCTGGTGGAGGCCTGCATTACACGGTGTGGAAGACTCTAAATCGAATCAGGGTCGAGGTACCAAAATGCAAGACAAACGTGCAGGAATGGGGTCTCTTACCAGACGAAGAAAACATCTTGTGTGCGTGTGGTGCTGTTCAGGATCCTGGCCATCTGCTGATCTGTCCACGCCTAGACCAGTCTAGCACATTAGATGATATTTTACAAGCGAATGACAAAGCCATATCGGTAGCTAATTTTTGGAAAAGCGAAGTCTGATTTCCGGACACGGAAAGTAAGTAAGTACTATTCTATTCTATCAGTTGTAGCCATTTTAACAATTGTAGCAGTTTAACAATAAAATTGTACGTTGGTAGTTGAATTGAACCACCGTCAGAGGGAGCTGATGAAAATTACAGATTTCTGTAGAGTACGCCAACTTTCCATCCAAGTAAAAATAAAGGAGAAATTAATTGTAAAAGCCATATCATCTTTAATGCCACATTAAATTTAAGAGTAACAAAAACTAATGAGAGAAAATATAATTTCAGACTGTGGCACACATTGTGAGTGGTTCATCCTACTGTCAGTTTTACTTTCTCTCTCTATACCATAGTATATGGAGAAAGTATTGTTTTCGATGGATATATCCGTTTTGAGTCCCCCTAGACCCAAAAAGGTGGTTTTCGAAGTTATGTCTATGTGTGTGTGTGTGTATGTGTGGATGTGTACAGAGTTACAAACCACACCTGTGGTCCGATTTTGATGAAATTTGGTATTTAGGTACTAATCCATGGTGTCTCCTGGCGTTTTTCCTTTTTATGAAATTTTGATTTTAAATGGTGATTTTCCCATGTAACCCATAAAATAACAAAATCCCATAAAAACAAAAACCCATAAAATAACAGAAAATTGGATTTAAAAAAAAAACCGAATTTGATTAGCCTAAAATTTGTATGTTAAAGATGGTCCTTATAATTCTAAAGGAAATAGTACAACTTTCCATTGCTGTAAAAATTACGGTTCAAAAGTTATTGCAACATTTGTGATTTTGCCGTTACTCCCACCGCTTAGCCATGATAAAGGTTGTTGACAAGTGTAAGCTTATGGTGTGGTTTAAACTTTACGTTAAACGTGTAATAATAAATTTAAACTAAAGTGAATTAGTCCAGTATACTCGCTTGGCAAAATAGTGAGCGATTGCGAAAAAAATTATTTCCCCATCACCACGGGTCGCAGGAGTTATTAGGAATTGGGCCGTGAACGCGGGAGACGATGATGTTGTTATCTGATAATGTCATAGGTTTGGTTGCAATCACGGTAGACTATGATAATGATTCCATGGCTACAAGAAGTATTCACGATTTTGAATCATGGATTCATTTTCATTTTCATTTTGTGGATTCACGATCATGGATGATGATGATGATGACGCCTCGGTGCCTCGGGAGATGCCATGCCAAGCTAAAGTGCAAGTTTAGGCGAAAATACCTGTGATAATGTTTTTAAAGATTATTGGGAGAGGGGTCCCGGCGAACAAACTCGCGTGGGGGCCCGCGGCCTCTTATCGCCGCCACTGGAATGCTGATACCGTTTATTAATAACAAAATAGGCTACATCTGGTCCAAGGCCCCACTAGAAAAACAGGCCATGCTGCAGCACAACACTACGTCACAGTGGTGGATAGTTGTACTAAAATCTTACCTTTAAAATCAGACAAACAGCCAGCTTATTTACCTAAAAAATATGGGATTTAGCAGTGAATCTATCCACAGTGTGACATCATTGATCCTGCAGCATGGCCTGTTTTTCTAGTGGGACCTTGGCTGGTCCATACAGATAAAGAGTTCTACTTAATTTCCTTCCAAAGACAATGAATAGTCAATTCAAATGTTGCAATAACCAAACTGCTTGCTTATGTGAGCCAGGTACTGCATATATAGATTGAAATAAATTAGGTATACAGGCTAAAAACTGTCTATGTTCAAAATATTTATATAAAATATTTTTACCTACTGCTAACCTTTTATTGTTAAAATACTTTCTGAATTGATAACTAATCTATAATTATCTATAATAATCTATAATTTATCTAGGCATTTTACTTTACCCAAAAGCTGATATTAGTTTTGCAGCAACAATGTTTCTTTGTTCGGCCGGTAGACAGACAGTAGAGTCGATTAGCTGAGCCTCCAACATCAGTCTCAGGTCTGGGGTGTTCGCAGTGGCAGGTAGAAACCAGACAAGGTTGCGAAGGACAAATGTGTTCACATTTCCATCCTACAATCAGCAATTAAATTTAACTAGTGTACCTATTGCTCGAATTCGAGTAATTGCTAAGTATTACAGGCGTTAATTTAAAACGAATAACAGTCATAATTTCTGATGACTTTAAAATTTTCAACTCAAAGATTATGGAAATACTCAAGATGTACCTAACAGATCGATATAATCAACATTTCTTGTTAATATCTTATCATTTTTCAAAAGCTGATCTTGTTTTTTAGTGTTTCCTACAAATAGCCTTACTCATAGCCGCATTAGGTTGTCCATAATAACGATTATAAATTCTAAAAAAAAAATGATATCTATTTCTTCTCCTTGGTGGTGTTCTATGACTTTCCTATGTTACCATAGTTTGCAAATCGGCACTTTAACTAAGAAATGCAGCACAGTGTTAATTGAGTTTTCTTTTTAGTAGGCCTATATCAATTTATTTAGGCTCTCTAGCTTTTTTCCATTGTAATATTTACCCAACCCAAATTTAAATAGTAAATATTTCATTTCTACCAAGTCCTCTGATCGTCAAAAAATACCAGACCTTCTTGATTTTTTTGTTACAAAAGGTGTATCCCAAGATTTTGTGACAATCGAGCAATCTCTGGACCTTTCCTCAGACCACTCACCTGTAATTTTAACGATCGCTTCAAATGTTATATTCAAACCTATTCCACCACATTTATGCAACAAAAATACAGATTGGAATTATTTTCGTGAATTAATGGATCAAAATTTAAAGATTTCTGTGAGTTTGAAGAGCGAAGAAGATTTGAATCTTGCTGTTGAACATTTCAACAAAACAGTTCAAGACTCCGCTTGGAGAGCAACTCCAGACCAGAATAAACATAATTTAAAATCAGGAATACACTATCCAATTGAAATTAATAGGAAAATTGCCGAAAAACGCCGACTCCGTAGAATATGGCAAAACTCTAGAGACCAGACGGATAAAAGAAATCTAAACAGGGCCACTCAACAAATAAAAAGGTTACTGTTTAAATTAAACAATGACAGATTTCAAGATTTCACATCAAACCTTTCTCCATCTGAAGCTAGTGACTACTCCCTTTGGAAAGTTACAAAAAACTTAAAACGTCCACAAATTTGCATTCCACCTATTCTAAAAGAAGAGGGTTCTTGGGCCAAAACAATATCGAGAAAGCAGATGTATTTGCTTCATACTTCAAGGAAGTGTTCAAGCCATATAATATTAATTCAAATGTTCAGCAAGAAATTTTGGAATTCCTCGATTCTCCAAATCAACTTGATTTACCAATAAAATTGTTCTCACCATCTGAAGTAGCTAAAGTAATAAAAGACGATTTAAACGGCAAAAAAGCCCCCGGTTATGATCTGATAACAGGTAAAGTGTTGAAAGAGCTTCCTAGAAAAGGAATAGTTTTCCTTACAGTACTTTTCAATGCAGTTTTACGCCTTGAATACTTTCCAATACAGTGGAAGGTTTCACAAATTGTTGTTATTCCGAAACCTGGTAAACCTTTAAATCAAGCATCCTCGTATCGGCCTATATCTCTTCTTCCTGTGGTTTCTAAAGTTTTTGAAAAACTTTTCTTAAAAAGACTCCAAATTATAATTGATGAAAAAGAATTGTTGCCTTCCCATCAGCTTGGATTCCGCCGAAGGCATTCCACCATTGAGCAAGTGCATAGAATGGTAAATGTAATCAAGGAAGATCTTGAGAATAAACGTTTTTGTTCATCTGCTTTTTTGGACGTAGCCCAGGCGTTTGATAAAGTCTGGCACACAGGATAATTGTTCAAAATTAAAACTTTGCTGCCCCATACATACTATGGAGTGTTGAAATCGTATTTGTCCAAACGCTTTTTTCAAATTAAATATCAAGATATAGTTACAGATGTGCATGAAATTGAATCAGGTGTACCACAAGGCAGTGTTCTTGGACCTATTTTGTATATTTTTTTCACTTATGACCTTCCAAGTACTCAGGGTATTACGGTTGCAACATTTGCAGACGACACTGCTTTTTTATCATCAAATCAGGATCCTATTCTGGCATCATCAAACCTTCAGGCTGCATTAGACGATTTGTCTCAGTGGCTACAGAATTGGAAAATTTAAGTAAATGAAACAAAATCCGTTCAAGTTACATTTACTATGTCTACAAGAACTTGTCCCCCAGTAACATAGAATAATGTCATGCTTCCCCAATCCAACGAAGTTAAGTACCTTGGTATGCATCTCGACAGACGGCTTACATGGCATTCACACATTTGGAACAAACGACTTCATTTAAATTTAAAAACAAACAAATTAAATTGGCTCATTGGTCGAAATTCAAAATTATCTGTTGAAAATAAATTACTTTTATACAAAATTATATTGAAACCTATTTGGACCTACGGTATCCAACTCTGGGGAACCACTTCCAACTCAAACATAGAAATAGTTCAAAGGTTTCAATCAAAAACACTGAGAAAAATTTTACAAGCACCTTGGTTTGTCACAAATAAAGTAATTCATCAAGATACAAAATTACCCTATGTTAAAGAAGAAATAAGGAAACGAAGTGAAAAATACCAAAGAAAATTAGAAACCCATCCAAATTTCCTGGCTGTTAACCTCCTCGACAATAGTGAAGCTACATATAGGCTCAAAAGAGTTGACTATAATATAATTGTACAATTACCTCGTCACAGCTCCGTAGTTTCCGTATATATTACGGCCGTTTCGGCATCAAAATGCCATCCTCAGATACATACATCCACCGGATTTGGCGTCGTCAAACTTGAAACACACACGTAACACGATAACAAACATTTAAAACATAAAAAATGAAAGACAGGCCTGTCGCGCACATGATGAGTACGTGTACGGAAGCTGTTGAGTCAGCTTCCGTACACGTACTCATCATGTGCGCGACAGGCCTGTCTTTCGTTTTTTATGTTTTAAATGTTTGTTATCGTGTTACGTGTGTGTTTCAAGTTTGACGACGCCAAATCCGGTGGATGTATGTATCTGAGGATGGCATTTTGATGCCGAAACGGCCGTAATATATACGGAAACTACGGAGCTGTGACGAGGTAATTGTACAATTATATTATAGTCATCATTCAGCTCAGGGGCTAAACCATGTCTATTGATTCAAAAGAGTTAATCCAATAAACCTTCCAAATCGTTTTTAGTTAAACTTCTTAAAAGTTTTTGTATGTTAGTGCACTTGATGGAGTGTAAATAACCCATGTTAAAATGGTTATTAAGTTTACTTATTATTCTAGTATAGAATAGATTGTAAATAAATACTTGTAAAAAAAATGTCTACCAAGTCAGTAAATGTTTGTACCAAACTGTTAAATTAGCAAACTTATTGACTGTTTACAATTAACATATGTTCTTCTTCTCACTTTTAATTTCTGACAACAGCTGGAGTTTCATAACAATGTTTGTTTCCCATGTTAATCTTATGGAGAAATACAAAACTTTAAAGGGCCCCAGGGCCTCACTCTCTAATTATTTCCCTAAAAAGAAAGTTTCCTGCACAACTTCACGTTACGCTCTTTCTTTCCAACGACACCAAAAACATGTCAATCGGTTCAGTAGTTTCGGAGGAGTAATTGTCACAAAAACCCTGCTTGCGTTTTAAACAAGTATAGATGAAAACCATGTAATGTTTACTTGAAACAGCTATAACCATCCAATCAAACTCAATTTTTGTGAAGGTTCTTCTAATGTCAGATTTCTGATATATGAAATTCAATGTTAACTATAGGATTGACTTAAGAGCACTGGAAGCCAGTTGAGCGGAGCAATCTTGTTTCATGATTTTTTAAATTAAGTAAATAATCAATTAAAACAATGTCTATGGATGAAATAAAACTATTTCATTAATTGAAAATAGTCAGTTTGTCTCAGAAGTATTAAGATCATGTGATAAGTATAAAGAGGTAGGCAGAACATATTTAATTTGTATTTGTAGTTTTTCCAGCTAATGTTAGCTGGTAAACGCACAGCACTGGTTGAATTCGAGCAATGAACATTTCCTTAATCTTAGAAAGATTTTTAAATCAACACAGAACAGAGCCTGAATCCAAATGATTAGTCTATGGAGATTTTAAAGACTTGCCAGATTACGCAAGAATTGAAAAAATGGTTTTACCTAACCCGCCATGTTAAACTTCCCTACCCCAAGCATGATGTATACAACTTCTTTACTTCACAAGTGAAGTAAAGTTTCAAAAACTCATTCGGTGAAGTAATGAAACCCATTTAAATAACATTGAGTGCTCAACTAAAAAAATTATACCACTATGGAGCCAACGACGTTTAACGCTAGAAATCAGCTGTGCGCTTGAATTTTATTGTTAGGCATTAAAGAATTTTCCTAACCTAGCTTTTGTTTGTAAAAGAACATTACTGTAAGAAGATGAGTGAAATGGATAATGAAAAATATTGTACGTAACCCCCTGTATATTATTGCGTCAGGTAAAATCTTGTTCGTTACACGTTACGTAAGAGCGTGTTTACATCACATAGGTGAATTATGCAACTCGCTTTCGCTCGTTGCACAACATTCACCTGCAGGATGTAAAAACGCTCTTACTACCCTTGTAATGTAAATAGCTATTATTTTATCATTCATACTTTTGAGTTCTTAAAGTTAATTTTCATGTTGAGTTTATTGTAGCAAGTTAAATAAATTAAATTATCATAGTTGCATTGATGAAAGAGTGTGCTGGTAAAAATTGCTGACTTTCCTATTGATTGTGTCAGCTTTTAAACCAAGACAAACTGTACATTTAAATAAGATTAGGTTTAATGGGTACCTAGGTTTGCTGCTACAGGTAGGGTAAAAACGTGTTTTTTTAGTAAAATATAATAGCTTAGTGTAAAATAAATAAATTGAGAAATGTTATGTTTTAGGTTTAAAAATGGGAAAAACAAAATTTTACCCCATAAAACCCCGTTACCATGGTCGGATCTTGCTGGTTTGCGAACTCATTTAAGTTTATCCCATCATACACCTTTAAGCTAAATTTTGTCAAAATCGGACAAAAATTACTCAAGTTATTGTGTTCATCGACACATATATAACTATATATATATATATATATATATATACCTATGTATACACCTACATAAAAATTTGAACGAATAGTGTTTTTGGCCTCTGGGGCATCAAAATCAAAAAGTAAATTGGTCCTGGGCCTAGGTCTTACCGTGCCACCTATGGTACTTCCATATAGCGAAATTCGCTAAAATATTGGTTTCATTCACAGTAACTGTTACCGTTCACTCCATTTTGAGAACAAATTTAAATACCCCCCGCCGCAGCAAACCTGCAGAATAAGCGAATTTCCATTTGACCGATTGGATTTACACTGAAATGTCTACTTAAAAATATAACATTTTTTCCCTATTTAAATAGAATTAGTTTAACAAGTACTTAGGTTTGCTGCATCAGGGAGGGTAAAACTGTTTTTTTTTTGTTTGTATAATGTTAATAGTTAGTAAGAAATAAAAACATTTTCCAAAATTTGATCAAAATATGTTCATAAACAAGCAAACTACAACAGTTTACTTATTCTTTATAAGAATAACATGGGAATTTTAAATTTACAATTTTTTGGAATTTTCTCCGTAACCATTAGGCGCATAATAACGCTTCAATATACTAAATTATTTTTTTTTTTAAGCTCTACAAAATGGTTTGGAAAGAAATTGCTAAATTTTATGTTTTTTGAGTCAAAAATAGGAAAAACCTATTTTTACCCCATAAAACCCCCCGTAAACCCCCGTTCTCATGGTCCGATCATGCTGGATCGCGAACTCGTTTGAATAAACGTACGTTTACACGTTTGTACCAAATTTCATCAAAATCGGATCATTTTTGCTCGAGTTATCGTGCTAACGGACACACATATATATATATATAAATATATAAATATAAATATATATATATATAAATATGAATTTGAACGGATGGTGTTTTTGGCCTCTAGGGACCTCAAAACGAAAAAAAAATCGGTCTTGCGTCCAGGTCTTACCATGAGTACTACGGTAATAGCTTATTCCCTATATGGGAAATTCGCTAAAATAAATCACAGCTCGGCTACTTACAAAAAACGTACCAGTGGGTGTAAATTTTTTCATATTGCTGTTTTTTATTATTATCACGACATTTGGAAAAAAGTGTAGTTTGTAAAGACTCAAATAACAATATTTCCATAAAGGTTTCATTTAGGGTGTACTTATTCGTTCACTTTATTTTGGGAACAAATTTGAAAATAAATCTCTACAACAAACATTGCTAGGCTACTTACAGAAAAAGTACCGTTGGATTCTTATAAATATATTTATATAGAAGAAAAGGTAGCCCTTTTAGTTACCCTGCCAAAAAAGAATTTATAATGTCCAATAAATCACTCCAACTTCTTTCTATATAAGGACTTGAAAGCACTTTCTAGGACTTTCTAGCCATCTGAAAGGACTGAAAGGACTTTCTAGCGTCTTTCTATGAAGGACTTGGTTATTATTAAAACTGGAAGTAGATCTCCTTAATACTTGAAATTAAGAAAAGGTGCCAGAAAATGAAATGAAATGAAAATTGTCTTTATTTTTGAGCGTTTTTCATATTACAACATATGTTTTCAAAACAACTCACGTCAACATAAATACCGTAACATAAAACAATGGCAACTTTCAAATCTTATGTTAGGCTAATTAAAAATTAAAATATTTTTTCTATTCCTTTTTATTTTACCATTCTTCAAGCCATTTGTTATATATTTTTTAAACAACTTTTCACTGTCCAACACCCCTGGCTCAGTCCTGGATGACAATATATTCCAGATTTTAGGGGGCAAAATAAGAAAACCCACAACGGTCGGACTCACAGCGCACACTGGGCATCTCCAGCATGTCATCCTCCCGTGTGCATCGGGATCGCAAAATACTGCTGAACCCAGCAACAATGAAGTTAGTAGGTTCATTTGGAAGTGAAACGCGAAAAATCATTAAATATGATATCAGAAGAAGAGTTTAAGTATGTTACAGGATATGTGTGCCTCAGATCTCCACTCATTTGTAGAAAATTTGCCAGAAAGACAGTCATTATTTCAAAAAGACCCGATCGTAATGACTAATGTATATATTATTTTGAAATAATAAGATGATTATTTCAAATTCTCAAAAAACAACTCAAGAACAAATACTCAAGAATAAATCTAGACTACAAAAAGAATTGAAGTGAAAAGTTAAAAGATCATAGCATAGACTTGACTCTTTGTGAGTATTTTTTCCTGAGGGTTTTTATTGGATAAAATATCTAATGCAATATCTGTAAGTAACGAATTCATCTAATCTAACTACTTTGACAATATTATCTAAATAAATATAACTAGTGTACCTATTGCTCGAATTCGAGCAAATGCATACTCGAAGATTATGTCGAAGAGACGACTCAAAGATTATGGAAATACTCACAATCTACACAACAGTTAGATATAATCAAAATATTTTGTAAATATCTTATCTTTTTTTCAAAAAGCTGATATTGTTTTTTTAGTGTTTTCTACAAATTTTTCCCTCTCATAGTCGCATTAGGTTGTCTATGATAACGATTATAAATGAAAAAAAAACATTATTTCTATTTCTTCTACTTGGTTGTGTTCTATGACTTTTTCTATGTTTCCATTGTTTGCAAATCGGTTATTTCAATGATTGCTCAATTTCAATGATTGCTTAAGAAATGTAGAACAGTGTTAATTCAGTTTTATTTTTAGCCTATATCAAATTGTCCAGGATTTCTCACTCTTTTCTATTCTATACACCAACCCAAGTTTAGTCTACAGATGCAATATGCCAACGATTATCACCTACGTACAATCTCCAAGAAGTGGTAAAAAAGGCAGAAACCAACCCATACAATAGATATAAGTTAACTCCAAAAGAAAAGAGTTACTGTGATAATAGGATTATCCACTGATTTGGTAATAATAGAACATTATATTGCAAAACATGACACGATGCAGAAGAAAATCCATTTTAAAATCAGAAAACCCATTGCACACTAACAAATCCTTATAATAGTTAAGTCCTTAATAGTTAATTTTCCTTCTTATAACAGGGTAGATTGTACAATGTTCTCAATATAAGGTAATAAATAGGTCGTAATACTAATTGATTATTATAACGATAAATATTATCAACGTTAGGTTATTCCATAGATTTTTTTAGTACATATACTAAAATTGTTTTTACTTCTACTTAAAAATGCAGAATGTACTTCATTTTGACAAATTCAATAAATCACAATTTAAATATTAACAGCTGTTTCATTAAAAAGTAGTGTAGAATTATGCATATGGTCGTAATGTAAACAAATCTGAAGAGGCAACTTTAAAGGCTTCTGGGGAGAGAGCCCCAAGGGAATTTACCTCGTCCCTCTTTTGATGGCTCATCTACAGACCAAGACCTTTCTTTAGAGACCCCTACCAAGATTCTACGCCCAGCCGTTCTCTCAAATTAGCTGTGACAAAAACCCCGTTTTTCTCCATAAGAATAACATGGGATGGGAATTTAAAGGCCACTGGGGCAGAGCCCCAAGGGAATTCACCATCTTTCTCTTTTGATGGCTCATCTACAGACCAAGACCTTTCTTTAGACACGTCTACCGAGTTTCTACACCCAGCCGTTCTCTCAAAATAGCTATGACAAAGAAAAACAGTTTCAAATTAATATATAGATGCCTTCTAGACAACTGTGCTTTGCTGCCTAATGGGGTTTCTGATAAAGGATACTCATTATCAAAGGTTCTAGACTAATTGGTAATGAATGCCATTCGAAAATTCTTTAGTAAATGATAACAAGACATGATTTGGTAAACTAAAAACTCGTTCAACAAGCAGTTTATGTGAGCGGCGCCGGGGCGGTGGAGAGACTCGGACATGATGTACCTGCCCGAACTGGACTAGTTTACGCCTTGCAACCCTAACACCCTCCTTTATATGCTTTGGGTTCATTCAACTGCAATATTTTTTAAGATAAAGATGGTTACAGCTGGTTAATATAGAAGGGATATCTTTTTCAGTCAATCAAAGTGTGAATCTAAATCTTAATTTATTTTTTCTATAAACCTGTCAAAAGTAAAAAAAAATTACAAAGCAGCTGGAAATATGATTAGTCTGCACGATTGCTGAAAAAATTGTATTGACTTGATTTGATTTGTAATACCTTTTCAATGGCTAGTTGAGCAATTTGTGTCAGTCTTGTGATGTCAGTTGAGAGCATGAGTTCCGTGGTGGACAAGTGACCGATGGTAGACAGAATGTGCCCAAGATAGGGAGATACTTTCATTGCTTCTAAAGGAATGTCAACCAGAACAAAACCTAAAATTAACAAAAAGTATTAACTCCAGCATAAAAAACATGTCTGGTCGTTGGAATTTTTAAATCTTTTAAATTACAATGAAACATTTGCTTAAAATCATTATGACCTAAAACTGCATAGGCCTATATATTTCTCAAGTATGAAGCCTTGGTACAAACTGTGTTTGCTTTGCATGATTAACCTCTTTATTTGTTTTATCATTACTAAAATCCAGATCGTTCAACTACAGTTATTTGTGCAACTAGTGAGCAAAGTGAGCAATTGCCTCATTTGAGAGAAACCCTTACTCACGAGCTGTTGGCGAGTGAGGAATGGTTTCTCGAGTGACGCGATTGCACTTTGCACTCGAGTTGCACATTATATTTTTCCTACAGTTACCATAAAACAAATAAATTGGTAAAGAAACGTGCCTTCACGTTGCAAGTCTGGAGTGAGACAAAGTAATTAGAGTGAGACAGTGACAATGTTAACATGTCTCACTGACGAGCGAATTGGCCACTTTGCATTCTCAAATCAGTGAGGGAACATGTACATTGTTAGGTAACTGTAGGAAAAAGTATTAGTTAAATGTACAAAATGAAAATCGGAATAAAATATCAAGATAGCTTACCTCCAATTGATTCAATTTCAATGGGCTCCAAAAGAGAGATCAAACCAGACTCAGAATCAGTCTGCGATAGAGTCATCTTCAACTTTAGATGATTTATCAGCTTTTGTAAACAGCAATGCTGTAGATTTTTTGGGAATTGCTGAAATATGAATAAAAGTATATTGATGAAAAGTATTCTATGGATAACTTTTAATTAATTAACCCTAAAAAAAAACAAAAAAACACAGTTATTGCTGAATTTATCAGCATGCTTAGGAGTCTATATTGTGAAAAAAGAAATATTGGTGGGAGGGGAAGGAAGAACTTAAATGTCGGCCTTTTAGTATTGTTAGCGATTAACTTTTAGAGGTTACACCACAGAGAAGGTATTGAAGTTTCCATTCAAAAATATGGGGCTTATTAGGAAAAGTGTAGAAATGGAGCCTTGTTTAGGTTTTTACTGACTTAAGACTGGCTGTGCCTTAATCGAGGACTGTTTAATCAAAAGCTCAATGATCAAGGACAGCTGAATCCAGGTTTCAAACCATTAAAAAGTGGTAGGTCTTATAGAACATATTCTTATAGATATTATAAGAACACTCTTAGGCATCATTTTCTAATACAATCAACTAATCTATGGCTGGCGTTACCACTTTTCTTCAGTACCAACCTTCTTTCTGATGGTGTTATAACGAGCCATGATAGGGATGAACAGCCCTGTGTCCATATCTTGAATGTGTTGGCAGGTTAGACCTCCGACCAGAAGATTGCCGACTTTAGAGTGATCCAAAAGATTGCTCCACCTCCACTGACTCGATTGGGCCATTTGATGTTCCAATAGTGCTGTTAACTGAAAAACATATTCACTGTAGCTAACTTTCTTACTTTCTATTATTATTTTATTTCTTTAATTTACTATTATTACAGATACAGTACTATATTATAATATATTATTATTAATTTATATTATTCCCTAAGATTAGCATGGCAACTTTGAAGACCACTGGGGCAATAACCTTATCTTAGATTGAGCTAATTTTGTGGGTTGCAAAACATCAAAGGGCTCTGGGAGTTTACCCGGGGGGCCTTCGTCCTGGGCGATCGGTGCTGAGGGAGTGGTAGTACCTTACGAGCTGTTCCAGCCAAACCTTGCATGCGGGGTTGGTTCAGTAGACTGGTCCACACCTAGCATTCTCACTTGTTAGCTGTGGAGAACAGCCCCCTACCACTGGGTGTTGGTCCACCTACCAACAACCACCTAGCCAAGTGTTCTTCCTTCTAATATTGAAAGGGCTTGGAGTTGCACCCTGGTTGGTGTAGAAAACAGGTCCCAGGAGTAAGCTAAGCCGCAAGATCTGGAAACTCAAGGAACTCCATGCAAGCTTGGAGGCATAGGTGGAAGTCCCACCACCAAGCTAGGGTGCTGAAGGCTTTTTACCTATATAAGAAAGAAAGAAAAAAGAAAGAAAAGAAAAGTGCTTTATTGAATACAGTACATACTATGTACAGTAGGATACATGAAATGGGTGCGATAATTTATACATGCACATACAACAATGGTCATACGACCGTCTGCTGGGTTGGCATTAATGTCCATTCAATATTAATGAAATAAAATTGTCCCACATAAATCAACATACTGAACACTAAAACAAAATAAAATAACACTTCTTTATGCACACATATACATAGATATATACACATACACATGTATGCATATATACACATATATTTATACTCTAAACATATTGCAATACAAAATTTTAAAAATTAAATTCCCTAACTAGCTCCCATCTACGTTTCCATGCAATTTTTAAAAAACTTCCAAGGCCCCGCCAATCCTTCCCATTCAAATAATCCACAAACTCCTCATATTGTATTTTTTGTTTACCAAAATACAAGAGTCGCAAGTCATTGAACACAGGGCAACTAGCCACAAAGTGTAAAGCAGATTCATTCTCGTTTAAATTACACAAGGAACATGTGTGGTTTTTATTGACAATCCACGGTTTATAGTTGAGATCTATAAGTTCTCCTCTACATTTTATTATCCAAGAAATGGTTCGGTTGTCTAAACCAGTTTCCAAGAAGCTATTGTTGCCAAGGTCAAAGTCAACGACGAGGTATTGAGAATGATAAGCTGAAGTACGCGCTCTGCCTAGACACTCAGCTCTCCAGCTATCTCTCGCTGCATTTACGACACTAACTAATTGAGACTTTAACCTACCACTCCCCACCTCCTCCATCGTATGTATATTCAGGTCTATTTGCACGCCATATTTGATTCCTAATGCTCTCCACGCTCGACACCAATCTACATTTTTTCTTAAAACTTCAGCTGCTAATAATCTTGGTAAACGCTCAGGTGGTAGCCCCAATATATTTATTATATAATTAAGATTCATTGAGAGAGAATAAATGTGTAATTTATCTAGACCCGTTTCCAAGTACAGTGAGTAATTTGGCGTGTTATTAGGCAACTGAAACAGTTTCCTAATAAATAACTTTTGTACAGATTCTATCTTTTCGCTCTCTAAATATCCCCATACCTGGCCTCCATAACATAATATTGATCTTACCACAGCGTTAAAACATACAAATTTTGAGGACAGATGCACCCTGTCATTGTTTATTAATTTGTTCCAGGCGGCGTTAATGGCTAATTTTGCAGCTGTGGACTTCATCTGAAAATGTTGTTCCCAACTTAGCATTGGCGTGAACAATACCCCCAGATATTTGTAAGAGTTAACAATCTCGACCTCTTTGCCTTTATAGAACCATTTATTACTTTTTGCCAATCTACCTCCTTTGCGAAAAACCATAATTTTGGATTTATTAGTATTAACTTGAAGGTTCCATAAATTGCAATAAAGTTCAAGTTTTCCAATCATTTGTTGCAGTACAACAGCTGTGGGAGCTATTAAAACTATGTCATCCGCATACATTAAAATATTTATTTTCTGACCTCCAAATAAACATCCACCCTCTAAAAATTCTGGCAAATCATTTATAAATATTGAGAATAAAGTAGGGCTAAGATTACAACCCTGTTTTAAACCCATCTTGGACTCAAAACTACTTGTAATGCCGTGTTTACACCATACAGAAACATTGGTTCTATCGTAAAGATTTTCAAGAAGCTTGGCAAATTTGGTTGAAACTCCTATTCTAAATAATTTATAAATTAAGGCCTTTCTGTCTATAGTGTCGAAGGCTGCTGAAAAATCTACAAAAAAACAAAATAACTTGCCTTTTTTAATCGCACAACTTAAATTAATCATACACGATAAACTAAATATATTATCAATGGTAGAATATCCACGTCTGAACCCCCCTTGAAACTCTGTCAATATATTATTCTGAGTTAACCACACATTTAATCTAGAATTCAGCAAACTCGTAAATATTTTACCACCACAGTCAATAAAGGAAAGTCCTCTATAATTCTCAACAGAATTTGCATCTCCCTTTTTGTGCAGCGGGAATATAATAGATTTTTTAAAACTTTCCACTACCCTGCACTTGTTAAACATGTTATTATAAATACCCAATATTTTAGTGAGCAGTGAATCTGGAGCATTTTTATAAAACTCGTAGGGCACCCTATCGTGGCCCGGCGCTTTATTATCTTTTAATCTCGCGAGAACTGATTTTAACTCTAACATACTAAAATCTCTGTCCAAAACATCGTTTGTTATCATTGGTTCCGCATAACAGATCCCAGCTGATAATCGTGGCGGGTTTAGTAATTTACCAAAATGATTGATCCAATCCTGCGGTGCAATGTTACCCATGAACCTATCACTCCCGTATTTAAAACTGTTTAAAGCCGACCAAAATGTTTTCGCGTCAGTCCTGTGATTTAAACTGGCAATCGTATTATCCAAGTACATTTTTTGTTTATTTTTACATACAATTTTAAACATCTTACATGCTTGAATGTACTCAGATTTATCAGCTGTCGAGTTTGTCCTACGAAATATGTTTAACCTCTTAAATTTCCGCTTTCTCAACGCTAAACATTCGTAATCAAACCATTTTTGTTTGTGCTGTTGTTTTAAAGAACAGCTACTACTAGTCGCACTTTGCTTTGAATGGGCTGACTCCTTTATAATATGTACAATTTGATCAACATTATTTTGGTCGTCTAACGATATACGAAACCTAGCAATATTCTGAATAACCTTTTCCTGATATAAAATATTATCACGTCGAGTCCATTTTAATTTTGGGAGTAAAGGTAAAATATTTTCATCTCTTCTCCTCACACAAATGTCGTTATCTATCGATAAGGATACTTCAATTGGCAGGTGGTCAGAGCCCGTGTGTTCAACAACTTTAAACCCCTGTATGATATCTAGACAAGATAATGAGACCGCTGCTATATCAATAACAGAGCATCCCATGACACCTATAAAAGTATATTCCCCGCTATAATCACCCTCTGACCTACCGTTCAGTATAACTAACCCTAAATTTTCACACAGATCTAAAATTCTCTTTCCTTTATTATTAACAATTAAATCTTTGGAGTTTTGGGTTCGTCTAAATAACAATGATTCCACTTGATTAAAACAATATTCCGGTAAAATTTGTTCTATACCTACACGGCCATTCACATCACCGATCAAAATAAAATCTTGAAAATTATTGTTTGTCAAAAAGTTTGATAAAGCCTGAAAGTTATCATCCCATGAATTGTAATTAATATTAATATACTGGCATTAACACTATTGATCTATTACTAACTGTATTCCTTATTTGCACTAATACATAGTCATCGTATTCAATAAAATTGATTTTGTCGCAAAACGGAGAACTTAAATTAATCAAAATTATTAATCCTCCCATGTATCTTCCATGGCTTGAGCTACGTTTAGCAAAACTAAAATTCTTTTTGAAATTTTTTAACTTTTGGTCTATATATGGAGCATCAACCTCAGAAATAAATGATTCTAAAATAAAAACAATATCATACAAATTAATGAACTCTATAAAACTTAAATCATTCACTTTGGACTTTAACCCGCATACATTGTAGGCCACTAATTTTAAACTACCTATCTTACTTAAAGTACTTGTTGAGTCCGTCTGACGTACTTCTGTGGTTGGATTGGCGTACACCCCTCAACCCCGCACTGCCTGAGAGTAGCTCGCTGTCCCTGGCCCCTGATGGCTGCCGTCGCTGGTCGCTGTCACAGCATCCCTAGGAGTCTCGCGCTGCCTCGTGGTCGACCCCTGGTCATCGGCTGCACCCTCCATGTCCAAAGGGGGATTTGCTAGACGATTTATGAACTCCGAGAAGTCGTGGCGAAACATGGAATTCAGCTTTGCAACTCCGTCCTGCCTCCCTGCCATTAGCCTACCCTCCTCCCACGTGAACCTACACTTGTCTATGGTTAGGTGATCATATACCAAGGGCATCCGCCGGGTCCCCGCTACCTTCTCGACCTCATTTCGCACTGACACTAAAGCTTTACGCTTTACTCGCACCTCCTTTGGGAAATCACGGTAAACTGAATAACCCGTGTTTTTCAATTGTTTCACCCGAGTCATAATATAGTCAATGTCAGAGTCATAAGGCAAGTGAGCGATTATTGTATCTTTTAGGTTTCCTAGAGGGTGGGCCCTGTTAATACATATTTGACTGTGACCGAACGTATCACCACAGAATTTGCCTACTATATACTTAAAGTCTGTTGTTCTTTCACCCCACTTCAGTCCCTTGAATATCAGATTGTTCCTTCTAGATCGACTTTCTAAATCTAAAAGTTTATTCATAATGACTTTATTTTGTCGCTTAAGGTCCCTTATCTGTTCATTTTGTGAAACGTTTTCTTCTTCCAAATGTGACACTTTTTGTGAGAGGTTAACCAAGTCAGATTTTGTGGCCAAATTAGACAATTTAGAGTCCAGGAGGTCGGACATAACATCTCTGAGAGAAGATCTTAACTGTCCATTAGTTAACTCACCAACTTTCTCGTCGTCGTTCTCCATTATTCCCATCATCAAACCTGTAGAAGAATCCTCCGGTGATGCTGGCGAGGAACGCGATCTCGGACGTTTGACAGGTCTTCCCGAAGGCGAGAAATAATTGATTATCTCATTGTCTGTCATTAACACAACACTATGTTCGCTTAAATATCACTTTTGATGCCACAAACACGAACCAGCGACGAAAATCACCGTAATGTCCACGACACGAACCCACGACAACTTGTCTGCTACTGACCACGTTGCAACTTGCAACTGCAACTGACCACGTCGGCGATTTACCGATATATCTAAAGTTCACATTATAACCGAATCAGCAACAAACCTCGGATTTATGGATAACACGGAAATTACTTTTGGCATTCGTATAAGGAGAAGAATTGGATGTTGGAATGAAAGAACGATGTTTGAAGGTGGACAACTGGAAATAATTAGTGCTGAAAGAGATCAATGTGAGATTGAGATATTGGGCCTCAGTGAAACAAGATGTAATGGATTTGGAGAAGTGAAAACTCCTAAAGGCGACACACTTTTATACTCGGGTACAGAAGAAAATGAAGAAGATGCTCACAGAAATGGAGCAGCCCGAGCAGCCTTACTGATGAGTAAAAAAAGCACGGAAAAGTTTGATGGATCGGAGCCTGATCAGAGAGGATAATTAAAAAGCAAGATTTAAATGTGAAATGTGACTATCATCCAGTACTATGGACCCATAAATGTTGAAGAAGATGAGATTATTCATTGATCCAATCACAGAAGATGACACAATGAAACGTGGGTATCTCAGGATAGGCACACAAAAATCAAATTGACCATATGGCTGTTAGTAAGAAGTGGAGAAAGTCTTCATTGGATGTGAGAAGTAAGCGAGGAGCTGACTTTGGAAGCAACCACCATCTGGTTCTTGAGACGATCAGAATCAAAATAGCAAGAACACAAAAGAGCATATCCATTAGGAAGAAAAAGTTTGATATAGACCAGCTTCAAGAAACAGAAACCAGCAACAGGTTTAATTTGAATGCCACAAATAGATTTGAATACTTGGAACAAAGTGAAGAGGAAACAGTGGATGAGTTGGGTGACAAAATTCATGATATATTTGAAAAGGCAGCTAAACAAGTTCTTGGCTTTTAAAGTGAATCTAGAAAAAGCTGGATAACAAAGGCCACGTGGAATAAAGTACTGGATAGGATACAAATGAAAGGAAGAATGAACTGCGAGGACCAGAGCAGAGAAATTTGGCCATGCTGTTCTGCACAGAGAGGTTAAAAGAGATCTAAGAGCAGATAAACAACGTTGAGTCAATAGAATAGCAGACCAAGCTCAACAGGTGCAGAAGCAGGAAAAATGCTAGGCAATATAAAATAACCAAACAGTTGTCGAGAAAAGGATTTAAACCAGTCAAACCGATAAAAGACGAAAATGGGAAATTTATTACAAAAGTGGGTGAAAGGTTAGTTAGGTGGAAGGAGTATTTTTAAAGGGTGCTAAATAGAAGTATTGAAGAAGGAGAATGAGAAAATGTTTTTCAAGATAGAGATCAATTAAGAATAAAAACTGAACCTCTCACACATGCAGAGATTGTCAAAGTTGTCAATGATATTAAAAACAGAAAAGCACCTGGAATCGGTTGCTTACCGGGAGAAGTATTAAGGCTAACCCAGAATCTGCAGCTAAGATACTCTTCCCTTATTCCGAAGAATATGGGCAGAGGAAAATGCCAAATAATTGGAAAAAGGTGTCATAGTAAAAATCTTAAAAAAAAGAGATTTTTGCAATTATGTGAAAACTATAAAGGTATTACTCGTCTACCTATAATCAGCCAAATATTCACTCGGATTGTGTTTTTAAGATTAAAGGAAAAAGGTCGATGAAAGGTTAAGGAAAGAGCAGGCTGGATTTAGACCAAACAAGTCTTGACCAAATTATCACACTGCAAATCGTAACTGAGCAGTCGCTAGAGTTCCAGTCTCCAGTCTCCAGTTTATGCGTTCATTGACTTTGAAAGACCCTTTAATAGTGTTAACAGAAGTGTCATATGGACAATTGCTTAAGAAAAAAATGGTATACCTGGGAAAATCATAAATATAATGAAAGAATTGTACAGGGACTTTCAATGTATTGTGGATCTCGTCACCTTTTTTAGTGAAGATTGGTGTGAGGCAATGATGCTTGCTCTCCCTTCTCCTTTTAACGATCGTCATGGACTATGTCATGTGAAGAGTGGTAGAGGACTGAAGTGGGGCATTAACGGTCGATTGGATGACCTGGATTTTGCAGACGAATTATGTATATTACCCCAGAGAGACCAAGATGCCTCTGATAAAATCTATGACTGAAGATAAATATCTCCAAGACTAAGGACCTCAGGATCAACAAAACGTCATAAGAACCTCTGTGTATTGGAGTAGAAGAAGTTGAACACGTTGAACAGTTTTGCTAATTGGGAAGCATTGTTCCTAACCAAAGAATAACAGATGAGGATGTTAGAAGCCGGTTGAAGAAAGCTCAAGGGACATTTGCTTAGCTTATCCCGATTTGGAGATCCTCCCAACTGAGCTTGAGAGTGAAACTGAGACTTCTGGAAACAAATCTCAAGTCAGTTCTGTTTTAAGGCTTTGAGACCTGGAATGAGTCCAGTAGAATTGACCGAGCCATCCAGGTCTTAATTAACAAATGCCTCAGGTCAATCTTAGGAATGGCCAGTGGTAATTTCAATTTCCAACAAAGAGTTAAGCACGGGTCACACTAGGCTGGCATCAGCGGCGAATTGAAAGAAGCCGCGACTGTCAGCTTAATGTAACTACAAAATTCGCAGCTGACACTGAGCTGACTCAGCCTGGATTGGTGAGCCGGTGATGCTGGTGCCAGCTGCTGATCACCAGCGGCTGGCGAACAGCCTAGTGTGACCCGTGCTTAAAGGGCCAGAACCAACCAAATTTCACGGAACAAGAAAATTAAAGAAAGAAAGTGGAAATGGATTGGTCACAAACTAAGAAAGGGAGAGAGCGAGCTAGAGAGAAAAGTTCTGGAGTGAAATCCGCAAGTTCAAAGAAGAAGGAGGAGACCGAAAATGACTTGGAGACGTACGGTGTACCAAGAGCTGCGGCAGGCTGGATGGTCATGGCTGGAGGTGAAGAGAAACACCCCCAACCGAGTACCCTGAAGAAACCTGGTTGCTGCCCTATGTTTCTTGGAGGAATAACAGGAAATATGTAACACTTCAGAGTGAGCTCTTTAGAATAACACAAAAACCGTCAAAATTGGTTTAAAACTCTAGGAAGAGTTCTGTTCACAAAATAGCCCCTTCATAATTAATTATGTAATGTAATAGATAAGTTAATAATACTTAGTGAGCTTAACGTATGTCAAATTTATATTATAAAATATAAGTACTTTACTAGGCAATAATAATGTTGTCTTACAATTTGTTGAGGAAGCTGCACTAAAACTTCACCATACAGAGACTGGCGTTTTTTATCAGCAAAGAATTTCAAGATAGCCTCTGCAGATAGAGCCAGATCTTTCGGTGATAGCAAAGACATTATCTGGTTGACATCACTGTTCCCCAGCAGTTCCTCTAGTACTGAGCTGTCACCACCTGTTTCATCTACAGGGTCACCTGTAAATGTAACAAATCATGACATTCAAACTAACACACCATCAAATCCAACTCTAACTTATACTAGGAGTATGTTCAGAAGTTAAGTGTTCAAATCAACGAATGTGCTCTCAAACAAGGATTTTAAAGTTAAAAAACAAAATACACAAGGTCTTTTGATAACAGTATAGTTATCAAAGTCAAACGTAAAATTTTAAGAGTTTTTGTTAAGTATTTACCACAATGGTATGTTAAAATATTGAATAATCATCCCTTACAGTGGCATCAATTGGCCATTATAAATACAGGGTCCAAAACAAGCCAAAAAGCATGGGGTTATATTATTATTAATCTATCTATACTTCTATACTATTATATAAAAATCTAATGGTGTCTGTCTGTATGTGTGTTACTAATAGGTGCAAAAACTAATGAACCAACTGGGCTTAAATTTTACAAAAATATAGCTACCATACCAAGGACCATTATAGGACTATTAACATTTCGATACTGACCGTAGGCTTTGCCGCTTTGGCTTTAAAAGTTCTGAGGTGAACATTTTAAAAGTAAATATTGATTGGTCTCCATGGCTGCGATGAGAACTAACAATGTTTGTTTAAATTTGCTTTGACATTTAAATGTAAACAAGAAGAACTGCTAAACTGCATTCACAATTTCAGACAACTGATACAAAGAAATTAAATATAATATTTTCCATAACTATGAGGTAGGTTTATTTTTATCTAACCTTTTATCATGGAATATTTATTATAAAACTTTGTCAATGATTATAGAAAAAAAGATTCTATAACCGTTGCTGTATCAACTCCGGCTCTGCTTTGGATTTTTAAAGCGTCTAAGTTATGAAAATAATGTTATTGATATATTTTCATGGAAACATTATGAAAATTACAATGTATAGATGTTTAGTATGAATTTGGAGGCTACTTTAAATAAATTCTAACTGCTTAACATGTGTTAGATTAACTTAACATAACTTGCACATCACATTGTTTATTATATGTATATTTAGGTAAATTTAAGTTATTGTGTTTTGCCTACGCTTAAATTAAACTAAAGAATATCATCAATAACTAAATTGTACGTCGTCGTTGAGTTTTGTTTTCTAAAATCTGTTGTATATGTGTAACTATATTTAATTATCAAATGGTAATACAAAATACTCTTATTTTATCTTAACATAGCTTTCAGTTCACATTTACCTTATTTGATAAATTTATTATTTGTGTTTTGCCACACCACTGATTAAATTAAACCAAGGAAAATGTCATAAACTAAGCAGTACACAGTGTTCTTTTGTTTCTAAAATCAATTAAATATCTGCTACTATGTTTACTTAATGGTAAGTGTGAAAATGTAAAGGTAATGGACGATGGCGCTGATTAAAAGAACTGGTTTGTATATTAAGTTGTTTGTTGATATTTTTGTAGAGTAGAATCAGAGATGCAATGAAACATTTACTGTATTTGCTATTACATTTTTTAGTCCTTGATGCTTTGATAATCATATTAGTTTTGTCTGCTGTCTTTAATGCTAAATTATTTGTTTGAAATTTTTTATAGTACCTATAGATATAGTTTCTTTAATATTTCAAAAGACTGTATTGATAAGGCACAACAATATATTTCTAAAGTTTATAACAGCTGACTTAGTTTTGCTAATGATTTATTGTAAGTGAAGTAACTGAAGATGGAAGTATTTGTCATCTTACTAATATTATAAATGTGAAAGTAAATTTGCTTATTGTTCTATTTTTTGTTGAACAGATTGTAAATTAAATAAAATGTTTTAAAAAAACTTTTCTTTGTTTGCTTATTTATTTAGCAATTGATGCAGTGAAATTGATATAAGGATATGTGTGGACGATTTGTTTAATGATGTCAGGACACCAACGTTATACTTATGTGTACTGTGAATTTTATTGGATATTTTCGTTTTATTTTAGGGAGTTTCTATTCAGACCTACTGGAAATTGTGTATAGTATGAGTAATTGTATTGTGGTGATATTGATTATGGAAGAGGCAGGTATGCGATGGAATTGGAAGGTGATATCGTTGACTTGGCCTATAGGTCTACACTTCTCAATTGATAATTACTCTTTCTACTGTAGGCTTCAATAAAATTTGTCTTTATACGTGTAAGCTAGCTGTTCTGAATTAAACACCGTTTTAACTGACTACTCCCGTAAGTAGGACGGGCTAACATCTTGTTCATATTTAAAAGGAATTAAAAGATTTCGTCAGCTGTTTCAACTACACAAGTTGATTCTATGATATTAAATAGTATTAAAGGTTATAAGGTTTACCAACAGGGTGCAGCACTATTAATTTTTTTGCATTTATGACGACAGCTAATTTGAACCAACTAGCAACAAAAAGCTGTGATATACAATGAGAGATTTACTTTTTTTATTGTTTAGGTGCAGTTAAGAACATTATGGCTATGGTAGATGTGCTATATTATAGCGTACCGTAAATTAAAAGAACCAAATTTTCTCAAACCATGTCCTCTCTCATTGCAAACGCAAAGCCAAGTATAACTGCAATACGCATTTTATACTTACGCCAACCCCGTACGAAGGACGGGTACTCTGCTAGTAAACATATACTACGTTTATCTATATATATAAAATCCAATGTATGTATGTTTGATTGTCCTTTATGGACTCCAAAACCGCTCGACATATTGCAATGAACCTTTCAGGCATTATTAAGCATTATTCAAGGATGGTTTGTGTGAAGTTTGGTGCAGATCCGTCAAAAGGGCTCCACCCCATTGGCTCTTGAGTTCCCCGTATTAACCTTATGAGTACTCATATTTAAATGGAATTAAAGAATCTTAACAGCTGGTTCAACTAAACAAGTTGGTTCTGTTCTATGATGTTCAATAGAATTAAAGTTACAAGGATTACCAACAGGATGCAGCACTATTATTTTTTTTTTATTTATGACAACAGCTAATTTGCAACCAAAAGGTGAGTGAGCGAAGCGAAAGAACTTAAATCTGGAGGCAAGTTAGCGTAGCGAACGAGCTAACCTAAAGGCAAGTGAGCACAACGAACGAGCTCCAACCTAAAGGTGAGTGAGCGTAGCGAACGAACTTCAACCAGGACGTGATTGTGTCATGCGAACGACCTCATCTTGAAAATGAACGAGCATTTGACGTAAAACCACATTAGGACAGGACGACGTCTGTCGGGCCAGCTAGTTTATTGATAAATTCCTCAAAACACACCCCCTCCACCTCTATGCCTCCCTAATCACTGCCACTGAGTTTTTGGATGAACATAAATTTATTCATATTGGCAAAATAAAAATATTATGCAAAATATTATGCAAAGTAGAACCTCGCTAATTTGAATTTCAGAGGAAAGACAACATATTTTGAACTATAGGAAGTTGAAATATAGAGAGTTTGAATTATAGAGGTCAGAATAAATAAAATTCAAATTATGGAGGTCTCAGTTTTTAAGAGTAGAGAGTTAAGGAGAACGGAGACTAATGATCACAGACTAATGAACACATCGTGAGAACATCAATAAGAGCGTCAGTTCATGTTTCAACAGCTGTGTATTTTTTGTCCTGAATTTGAGTTACAGAGGATAACGGTAACACAGTTTGAATTGTAGAGGTTGACTACGAATTTTGGGGGTAACAGTTTGAATTACGACAGCAAAATTCATATTGTAGAGGCTTGAGTATATGCTAATTCGAATTGTAGAGGATGCATTAAGCGTAAAAATCACTTTGAATTATCGGTATATTAACTTTTTTAATTTTGGAGGTTTTCTGAGGGGAACAGACAAACATTACTAATTACAGAGGTTTTTGAATTATCGAGGTTTGAATTAGTGAGGCTCTACATACATTACATATAAGCAGCATCATATGATTCTAACAGATGTTCACACAGGTGGTTTTACTAAACATTTGCGCTGTTTATTTATAAACTCAATTTAATTAAATTTTTTATCTATTTGGGAAAAGTAATTTTTTGCCGTAAAGAATACAAAAACTTCTTACCAATGCTTGAGGAAATTTTGTTCACCAATGATAAAGTTCGTGCCAAATTATTTTCTGGAAGTTTGGAAACAAGGTGTAACTTGACAGTAGAACTGATTTCTCCGAGTTTCCGGTTGACCAGTTGACTTGCAGGTAAGGCTTGTAAGAAAGACTCCAAATCACTGATGCTGTTGGGTGCAGTGACATCCAAAGCTTCCCCTCTCCCTGTCAGGTAATACGCCTGCACATGTTGGGAACAATACAATTATTGTATTTAATACTTAATTTTCCAAACTACAAGAGGTGAACAGCTTGAAGTGTCATGGATGAACTGTCTATAAAAATTGTAGTAATAAGGTAAAATCAGATTCTCATACGGAAAAAAAAACTAGGAGTTTAAAAAAGTTATTATATTTTTAATATAAAAAAGAAAACAAAAACCAAAAGGTTTGTAAAAAATATTATTTGTTATGTAAATTAAGGTTATGTAAATTGCAGTAGCAAACGCTCATAATCCAAAAAGATTTTTTTTAAATCTTGAAACCAAAAAGAAAAAGTTAAACTAACAACTCAATCATTTGAAAAATGTTGATGTATCTTTTTAGAAATTAAATAAAAAATGCACCTAAATTGGAAAGACACTTTTCCCTTGAGACTTTTTAGTCGTTATCAGTCTTATTTTAATTTACTTTCCCTAAACCTGAAATTGATAACACGTAATATGTTGATTAATAAGTTTGCTGGTGTTTATAACAAATTATAATCGTCATCCCCTTCCTCTCTCCTTGCCCCTTTGCCATCACGTACTACAGCGCTCCGCAATGTAGGAAGACTCTGTGCTCTACAACTGCTGTACAACAATGCTATGTGGCCATTGCCATTAGGGCTCTTCCTTGCTCGGGACCAACAATGTGAAGAACTACTGGATTGCACTTTCAGTGGCACTGCAGCCGCTGTTTTCGGTCTAGCCCCCCCCCCCCCCCCACTCACGACTGGCAGAAGCCAATGCAGCCCATACACTCAACAGTCACCATTATAATACACACCTTTTTAGCTGCTGCTCTGTTGAAATATATTGAGATAATATGTTGTTAACGCAAGTCAAACTCTTTTTACTATTCTAAACTTCTAAAATAACACATTTGAACTCTTTAAAACTACCGTACACATTCTCTATATCTGAGTTTAGATTATTTAGACAACTGATATTGCTAGTTCCAAATTATGCATGGCAATGGCAATACAGTATAATTAGTAATAACAAAGAAAGGATATTTAGATAGAATATTTTTTTCAGTTTTTTCCGCAGATTTATGTTTGACATAAACGCTATACTTTTTTCTTTTGCTGTTTTGTTACCTATTTTGTAAGATACATTGTCATCACACAAAAGAAAAAAGTATTGCGCTTATGTCAAACATAATGCCTGAGGGAAAAAGGTCCGTTATATAGTGGTGAGAGTATGGGCTGCATCGGCCCAGTTGGGAGTGGGGTGAGCTAGACCACACGACCAACATTTAGCCAGCAATCCATGAGCTGTTTTGAGTTGAGTCGGGACAAGTACATTTCTGCCCCAACATACCAGAGCTAAAAGCGCACAGTTGTCCAATAAGCTTGTATTCTCTGTATGTTAATTATCTGTGCATATACAGTACCTGCATAGGAGATATAGCTGGGGATTCCAATCTCTTGAGGTTTGCAGTGTTCAATGGATTTGTCCTGTAGCCTTCTAAAGATGACAAGGGCAGAGTGTAAACCCATTTACCCATATGTTTAATGTTGGTATCCCAGAATTCATCTTCTTCTTTCGGCAATCTTCTCGTCGAGATACAATCTGCTTTCACATATTCTGTGATCTGTAGATGACAAAGATATTCGAGCTTTACTTTAAAAAAATATATATTTACAAAACATAAACAAAATAATTTTTTTTAAATGGTCATGTTAACACATTCACTACCGACATGTTAAACAATTACATAAATATAGACCGACCTTTCTACCTATACGCGCCACAACAACTTTACCACAGATCGCAATCCCAAATGTGCGCCGCTTGGGCCATTCCGATGTCCCACATGTGCGCCAGTGTCTCCGGCTTATTTAAATACGTCTCAGATTTATCAGTCCATTTTTATGCCTTGATATTTTATATCGGTCTTTGGGGATATATGACACATATATGGGACGCTTGGTTTCTGGATTTGACGATTGGTGTATTTGGTACAATTGTAAACCTGTTTTCATTTTTATTGTATTTGCTCCCACATGCTTAATCGAATCATAGCTACCACGTGTTTCTCAGTGAAGTTGAGGTTATACTGTGTGTATGTTTGTTCTCAGCAGTTGTGTTTTAGTTGGCTTTGGCGGTGTTGGGTTTACGGGGCAAATATGGGACAATCGGTCCATAGTAAAATTGCACTATACATTTTTGCTATGGACCAACGGCTCCCATATGCGCCTTTTTGAAATTTGTCAAAACTATGGAACAAAACTATTTAGTATAAGTAGCAGAGTTGGAAGGAACAATATTGCATATCAATATTGATTAACAGGTTTTTATTTCCGGTCTGTGCTACTGACCAATTTACTACCTCAAATCTATCAGTGACGTTTAGTATTAGGGTCGGTCTATTTTGATCGGCCTACCGGTGCATCTATGCACCCATCGGTAGCGATCGTGTTAAAGAACTAAAAATTATAATCAGTAGCTTGATGTTTCGAAACTGGACCGAGCTGTTCTTGATCATTGGGTTTTAAATCAATGGTTCTGGTAATGAAACAGCTGATCTTAGTCAGTAATAAAGGTCACTGACACTGATCATCTCACACCATTTTACACTCATCTTTCACTCATATTTGGGTTGAAATACGCACCTAGGTGGCATATGAAAAAACTGCTGCTGATTAAAAAACTGAGATTTTTATAGCTTTTATTCAGATGGGTAATTTTTTTTAACAATTTCAAATCAGATCATTACACAGTGCTATCAAACAGCATTATATTATCTATTTTTTCATTGAGCTGTTCCCTCTGAAGCCCCTGTGTTATTACAGTCTAGCTCCGCTCCTGATTGTTAAGTCATCTTTTACATACAATAAAAATATAGTACAATTTTTATCAAAACTTTCAGCGTAAAATAGGTTGAGTAAAAAAAAAAAACTTCAATTACTTTTTATATGAAATATAGATGAGTTAATTTTTTGAAACAATACCTGACAAGCTGTGGGAAGAGGAATTGTTGCAATTTTTTCAATAAAATTTACTTCATATTTTTGAACATTCTGGGGAAATTTCTGCAGCAGTTCTGGAGACAATTTGTAGAGAAGAGGTTTTGAGTCAATGAAATTGCTGCTACTGAGGGTCAAGTTCTGGTAGGATCTCTCAAACAGTGCCCGAGCCTTTGATAACAAAAGAGCAACCATTTATCTTACATAGAAAAAAACATAATCACAATAGGCTAACACCTAAAAATCAAAGAATTTCCTTTTTCCAATTTCAATAACACTTGTAAAAAATGAAACTAAAAACACCATAAGTCTTTGTGTTAGTTTTGCCATATGACCGCTCGCTAATGTGTTACCATATCTTACATTTTGGGATATGGGATTATTGAATTGTTATGCAGGTTTGCAGTATTCCAAGCTTTTTTTCTGTAAATTATTTCACTAGGATAGTTTAGCCTACATAGTTGTAAAAAAGATCCTCAGAATTTTTCATTTTTTAGACAGATAACTTAGTGACAATTAACATAGAGAGTAGAGTCTTGTTAATCCAATCTTATCGGGACCAGATCCTATTTGGATTTTTGTTAGCCAAGGTAGCAGTAAAATTGCACACAAAATTAAAACAAAGTATTTTTATGATTGTAAATCTTAACAGCAATCCAACCGGAACGCTGTTAAAGAATGGACGGCGTAAGAAAATTGCCAAAAGGCAATGAATTACTATGGCCTGGCCCTTAGCTTGTTCAATTGTCATAGCTAAGTAAAGCGGGAATTACTGGAATATGATATGGCAGCCCCTTATAAGGCTTTAGGTGAAAATTCCTTTTATTTCGTTCTGTGTGCACCCAAAATAATTCCAAATGTCTGGTTCCAATTGAAACCCATGTAATATTTGATTTGAGCAGTTCCCAGTGGGCTGAACACTATGGTTCATATATTAAAACAGTAATGTAGCTTTTTAAAAATTTAAATTACGTAATTAGTTTTCCTATCTGGTGTTTTGATTAGCGGGATTCTGGTTTGCAACAAAATTTCAGAAAACAGATTACAACCAAAATCTCACATACTTACCTGGAGAAGAGAAAGATCTAATCTGAAATCTGTCACAGAGACATCAAAGGAGATGTTTTCATTCAACAACTGATCTGGATTTAGCCCCAAAACAAATCCTTTTAGCCTGGGAATAAAGAAACATTAAATGTATTTTTAATTTAAAATGATAGAATGGATGGATAAAGTTGGTTTATAAAACTCGTATAAAATCTCCTAACAGTTTTTTTAAGACTTATCAACTATCAGTTAGTTTAAATATAGTCAGTGTGTAACATAAATAATGATAAGTTATTATTGTTCATCATATTGCAGTACCACATCCCTTTATGCACCCACAAAACAACCTGGTTTTTAATAAACATTTCGGTACTTTAAATTTTTTTGCTTAAAAAAGTAAAATATTTTATATTGATTGTGCTACTATAAAACTTAAACGTCTAAAAATTGGTTTAAATGTCTTGTCTTATTGACAACAAATACCTGAATACCTTATTGGCAAGGATACCTGAATGCTTCATTCAGGTAGCATTTAATAAAAATTGAATCAAGCAAGGTGGAAATTTAAAAAAGGGTGCTGCAAAACAGTTTGGTACGCATTAGCTATAGATTAGAGCTTTATCCAACTAATATTTTGTAATTTATTTTGTAAACGACAATAGCTTGAATCTTAGGCCCCGGGTACGATACGAGCGGCAAGTGGTGAGTGGCGAGCGTCATGACCGGCGCCGCTCTGACATCGGGTCTCGTTTAGTTGCGTGTAAATTGGTTGAGAGTGGCCACGATACGTCTGAGCGGCGAGCGGCACTGCTAAGCGTTGCTCATGGTTCCAAGTCAAAACAGATTTTTGCAAAAACACCGCTCGCCGCTCAGGTGAGACATGCTTCAGTTCGGCCTAAAATGACAGGGAAACAGCAACAAACATGGTCAACAAACCGGTCGATACGTGGGGTGCAGTCCAGGGAATGTTTGTGGAATTATCAGCAGTCACCAGAAAAGTACCGTATGGGACCAAGTTAGGGCTAAAGTTTTTCTAAAAACTAAGTTTTTCTTTAAAGGCAAACAATTGTCAGATAGCAACAAAAGTTGCAATACGTCTTGCAGGTAAGCATAGCTTACCTTTTTCCACTAAACTGACTCATAAAACTGTGAAAATTTGATGAGCGTTATAAATGTGCCGCTTGTATCGTAGTTACGCTTGCGTGCCAATCAGGTTACCACTTGCCGCTTGCCGCTCGCCACTCGTATCGTACCCGAGGCCTATACTAATAGCCTCAACATCTTGTTTGAATGTTTATTTACAGTTCAATTTTGAATAATAAAACAAACATGTTTGCTTTCATTGCATCCAACTAAATTAACAGTTGAAGTTGTGTTTGAAATGTTGTAGGCCTAAGCTTACTTGGAGACATAAGCTTACTTGGATTTCTTGAAGCTTATATGTAATCTTTTTAGTAGCCCGTATATTAGCGATGAATTGTTGGTGTGTGAATTAGGATATGCATCTTGTGGGGTTTTACAAGAACAGGACCACGTGTTTCAATGTGAACAAATTTGACGTTGACGTGTTTAAATGGTAGTACATACAGCTTTTTAAATAATATTGATATTGAGTTTTTTTATTCGATAGGCTTACTTGAGAAAAACAGAATTTTTAATATTAGTTTCCATGAAATAGTATGAATTAGTTTGAATGAAAACCATACACGTTAACAAAGTTTACATATAATCCATACACAGATTTAATTGAATAATTGTGGATTTTATTATGTGTTTGAAATGCCGCTATGTAGCAAATAGTTTGATCTTATCAAGATCAACAAGGACCTCTAGGAAGCACAACAATGTTACCCAAAACTCTTCGATCACTTTCCAATTGATTGTAAAAATTATTAACGTTTAACACATCGGTTACGCTGGAATCAATGCGAATGTCACTGAAGGGAAAATCGCTGAAAACACAACTTCACAAGTGGCTGATAGACAGACCTGCCTACTCCTTGAAGGAATTCCTTGAATCCGATCTGAACCATTAACTTGCAATAAATTTTTCATGATATTGTTAAGCAAAAAAAAAAAAAAAAAAAAAAAAAAAAAAACTCTTGTAGCCTACTAGTTTTAAGTTATATTATTGTGTTTTTATTGACGCCATTGTATTATTCTTAATGATATTACAAAATAAAGAATGATTTGATTTGATTTGAATGTTAATGTTAATATAACTTCTGTAACATTTTTTTTATTTTGCATTGTTCACATTCATTAAAAACAAAATAAGGTCATAATTACGATTCATTTAAGTAAATATAAATTTGATATTGTAAAAAAAAATTTAAATTGTTTTACTGAGTATATTCACCTAGTTGGCTAGTTAGTTATGTTTTAGTAGTTATGAAGGTCTCAGATTTAAGAGAGTGATATATATTTCGTGTTTTCACGTATATAATCACCATTACATGAAGTCCTCTTATGCAGTCATCAGTAGGCAAAATGGTAGAATCCAAAACAGTAAGGGTTGATTTATAGGCTATCACTAGCTGAAACTGTACCACCCTGTATGGGAAAAAGTTTATGACTAAACCCAGAGGTTTTAAACTTAAAATGTAAATGCAGGTCTTTGAGAAGGCATCCCTGTGTTTTTACTCCCCTTCATTACAAAGCTATATTAAGCCAATCTAATTACCCCAATATTGATCTCTACCCAAATTTTGTCTTTACTTATAAAATATAAATGTTGTCTTATATTTTTATAAAACTGTAGGTAAAAAGAATTATGAAGCTCGACAAAAAAGGTCGACAAAAGTATAATACGAATACTAATGACTCCGCTCAATTTTGTGGATGCAGCTTCGAACGCCACCTATTAGTGAAATGGACACTTTTCATACCGTAACCCTTAACCCACATTCAAATTCTGGTTATAGTATATATCCATTTGATTTCTAATGAGAATTTTTGTTTCCTAGTAAGAACTTTGATCCAACATAAAATATCGTTTCCAAAACTCTTAAAGAAAACTTATCCAAGTTAATTAGTGGAACGGTCATTCACAGGTTACAACGCCCAAAGTCGTGATTCAGTAATTGTTGGTAAGGATGGTGATCTGAAACTGAGTAGGCTTACAGAATTGTACCTTAACATGTTTACTGTGAATGCCAAATAATATATTGCAGTCCATCATAATCAAAGAACCATGACACGATAGTGGGAAGCTTAAAGATGAACTAGATTGTTGGAACACTTAATTTTGTTTGTGTTAGATGATTGACACTTTCTATTCGAACCAGCGACAAATTAGATTCCAATCAGGCTTGAAGGTTACTTAAAAGACCGTTTGTGATAGACTAGACAGAACAAAAGGTTTAATATGATGTGTTTTATATGAAACAGAATGATGCACTCACCCTTTAAATAAGTTAAAAAGTTCTCTGAGATAATTTTTTGTTTAACTTTTAATTCGGTTTGTAATTTGACCAGCCATTATAAACCCAACTGCTGAACATGAAAGTATGTAAAGTAAACACAAAGATAATTTTCTTCTGGATACAGTATCAATTTTTGGTAGTTTGTCAAAACGGTTGAGGTCATAAGATCCGTTTTCTTGCAGAGGATAAGATCGATTCTTTTTAGCCCTTCTTTGTACAGCAAACACTTTCCACATAGTATAAATAGTTGAGTAACAAAAAAATTAATCTTTCAAAAACTTAAAACAAAACTGAAGAAATCTCCTAAGACAAAATATATTACAGATTTTTAATAGGTATAGATGTTTTATAAACAACAAGATCTATTTTGCAGATGTTCTAAAAGAAAGGCAGAAAGTATCACAGATTAAACAAATTACACTATAGATTAGTTAACTGAAGATAAATCAGGCAAGGCTTGATGTTTCCTTTTGTGACCAAATGGATTTAAAAACTGCTGCTTGATGGCCTCTGGTATTACAAGCAAAGAGTAATTGTGTGAATAGCCGAGCGGTTATAGCATTGACTATATACCATAATAGACAGCTCAAGCTTATGAGTGCCATGAATTTCAGGCGAGGACCGCGAACGGCCGATTGGCGACGTAGTTCATGAACACGTAGCTAGGAGCTGCAGGAGGAACACAGATACACTATTATGTGGGACACGGAGCGCTTTAGTTGCGGTAAAGTTGCCTAAGAGAGTTCACACACTGTTATGGTATATAGTCAATGGTTGTAGTGCGTTATAGTGTTCCAAGTGGTTAGTGCTCACCTTCAAATCTGAAGTTAGCTGGATCAATTCTGGACCCAGATGCCATGCAAGGTTTTTTATATACAATTTTTAAAAAAGCTTCTCAAATATTTTATTGTTTACAAAGCTATTAAATGGAATCTATACACTCAAAAGTATTCAGTTCTTAAGTATTTACCCTAAAAAGATTGCTTACTAGCCTTATATATTTAACTAAACACAAAAGTATCAATGTAATACAGTACAACCGCCAGAGGGTTAACAAGGAGCAAGGAAAATGTAAACATAAACTCTACAAGTTCTGTAAGTCATGTGTCGATAAATGACTGATGTTGAAAGACATTTTGACTCATTATTAAAGAAAAATACATTACATTCAATCAAACACATCACAGTTCACCCATTTGGATAAAACAACCTGTTATTACATGTTTGGATGTACTGTACTTGATTTCCTATTGATTGTTATCTTTCAAACCAGAGGAACCAATTTGTATTTTAAAAATTGCACATTCTAAAAATTGAAAATATTCTATGATTTTGAACAGTTGTAATTATCCTATTGCTTAATAAAATACCCCAAGTGTATGAAAAAACCAATGCCAAATGATTTATGGGAATGTACTTTTCTTTTGTACTGTATTTAGTCATTTCCACTGTACTGTTTATAGATGATTTGTTATAAGCATATGTTACAATTCATTTATTTACATTTCCGTTAAGCTGTCTTGGCTACTTAGCTTTCCATTTGACCAGTGTTAAAAATATTAACATTTCATTTAAAGTTTTTAACGCAAAAAGAATTTTCCCAGAACAGTGGCTACCATGGATATTGTTTTTAGCCTGAAACTAAGATATTCATAACAGTTTAGTTTAGAGGAAATCTAGGAGCCGTTTTTGAAGTCATTGTGTGCAAATGTTACGCATATTATACCTAGGATAGATAAATGAGTTAACCAACATGAATAATTGGTGAGAATTCTTCTGTGGTAGAGAAATATTTGGTCTTCGGACTGCAACTGTTTTACTGAGTTGAGGTATCCATACTATATCATTCTACATCTTCAGGCATACCACTTGCCACATCCTTGAAGGTAAACAGTAAAAGATACGCAATAGGGTCAAGATGAGAGTAGTGTGCTGCTAAATTCTCTGGAATTCAAGTTTTGGGTATATAACATCTCAGGAGGATCTTCAAGACAACCATCATCAGATTGAATACTACAGTAAAGTTGTTTGCAGTTGGTAAGTTATACTGACATTAGTCTGTATAAATAACCATATATACGTTTTATTGTTGATCTTCAGGAGTTCATTTTGACACATTGTTTGTAAAAATCAATCCATTATTTTTGTATAAATTGCATTCAACTATTAACCCTCGAGCGGGCGATTTACGCCGCGGCCGAAATACAACGTAACGGAAATCGCCGTTTTTGCATGAAGATGAAACAAATTTCACTTAAGTTAATATAGTATTTATTCGGTTCAAAAATGAATAATCTGTCAATTGATGTGAATTTCAAACTATTTGGACGCCTTTGGGAAAACTTAAAACTCTATGAAAATAAAGCATCAGCTGACGACATTGTCATGATGACGCAATTGCTTATTACCAGCGTCTGTTGTTGTTTATTTCGCGTTGTGTTTGGTTAGTTTCGGTGTTTTGTCGTTATATAAGTTTGATTTTTTATTGAAATGTGAGTTGATTTCACTTCAAGATGTCTGATCGTAACTACTGTGACCGATCTAGTGACTACTGTAGACCGAGGAGACATGCAATTCAAGTACTAGGCTTAGGTTGTACACCGAATATGTATATGGTAATAAAAACTGTTATATGTACTTTTTTTAGAAGCAAGGTACATGTATTATATATCATTCTTTTCCTCATGAAATTCTACACAATTTGTATGTTTTGAAAAATTATTTAGAGTTCATTGATTTGTGTTATAATACGGAATTATATATGCATATAAATCAACAAGTTTCCACTTAGTATATATACAAAAAATCTTTTTTGCAAATTAAAATTTCATATCTAAAATTTATATCATATTATTCCCTTGCTTAACTAAACACAACAAACAACAATACTCTTACTTGGAGAGAGGAGCTCTATGCTTTATTGCAGCTTCAGTAAGAAAGTAAAATGCTGGTTTCTTAGGTGGCTTGGATTCTGCCATTCGAAGAACATTGTATCTGAAAATTTAATTTCGTTAATTGCATGGAAAATTCAATGTACCCTACTTCCTTAGCTATAATGAACTTTATAATTACAGCATTTCTTACTTTAGATTTATCCAGTAATTAGTTTTAAACCATTTAATCATCACCCTTGGCCATTAATAACTCGTACCAGGATTGCTTTCAGAGCAATAAAAACCATTTGAGCGGAGCAATCCAATTTAATGGTTTCTTTTTGTTTTTAGAAAGTATGAAACTAAAACATTGACTTAATAACATACTCATCTTTTCTATTTTCAAGTGTGTGTGGGAAAATGTGTGTTTTTCTAAGATAACACTGTACTAAGATAAACATTAACCTCCCAATTTTTCTAAGCCCTAAAACCCCTACACACACATTAAACATCATTGGATATATTTAACATATTACAGACAAATATCTTTCTAACAGTATGCAAAGATTTTCCCTGCGATACGCACAAGCTGAGAAAAAGCTTTTAACGAAACATGCTTGCCTATATAGATATTATGCGGCTGTATATTTAATTAGACTATTTCAGCTTTTTCTCTTGACCATGTTCATGTTAACTATGGAAAATTACACTATAAATACATTTTTAGAATATAAAACAGCTTCAAATAATTTATTTTAATGGTAAAGTATCTGTACAAATTAGAAACAAGATAATACTTACATGGAGTACAATGTGGTTGTTTCAACGTTTAACAACACTGCTGGCCTTAGATAAGCTAACAATGGTTTGTTTTCAATAAAAGGTAACTTAAGAAAATCCTCTGTTAAATCTGTGATCTCCATCGACTCTGCCAAAATCTGCAGGGCTTCTTCTGGTATAGAACCATTAATCTGATAAGAAGAGTGAGAGTTAACAATGCTGTTTGATTATATTGACATTACTTAACCACAAGAAACTATATAAGAAATGGATTTTGTAACTTGATGAAAGCCAGATGATTCATGGCAATGAAACACATTGGGAGAGATGCGCATGGTACAAAGAACAAACAGCTGGTCAAATCATCTTCTTTAGTAATAAGTGACCCATCTCGATATGTTTTGTTTTTAAATAAATGTCTATCATTGCTGTTAGTGGCTGTTACATGTGGCTTGTAAATATCATGGGTTACTAAATTTAGGGTGTCTAGATTATTTCCATTTTAAAATTCAAGACTTTTCAAGACTAATTCCAGATTTTTCAAGACTAGTTTTTTTCAACAATTAGTGTTGATAAAAAATGTATCGATTCTCGGTTCTTGATAACCAAAATTTTCTAAAATTTTTAAATTATTGTCGTATTTTGCGATCGCTAACACAATCTGACTATCTCACGTGGCCATTTAGACATCATCATCGATTTTGTGGTCACGGAAACGATTTGCGCGATCGCCGCAAATTCAATAACATTTTTTGGCCATGTAGACATCCTCGTATTCCTTGATTATGGCAAAATTCTGTCTCCGGTGGCCATAATGCCATCAGCAACGACTCCTGCGGTTACGAAAACGTAATCGTCGTCTTGTGCGATCGCGGCAAAATCATTAAAATTCCCGACTTTGATATCAAAATAAAGACTAAATCCCACTTTTTCAAGACCATTTTGAAATGCAATACTAGTTCCCGACTTTCCCATTTTTCCCGACTGCTAGACACCCTGTAAATTATTTACCGATAACTACAGTATGGGGTTGGTAAAATAAGCATTTTCGTTGATATTCAAGTGTTTGTTCTCAAAACTGAAAATAATAACTACAGTAGTTAAGGATTAATTGATAACAATCTTAACTGAATGTCTTGCATTAGGGTAAACGGAGCGAGTGCCGTTCTATTCTTTGCCGTAGGGATTATAAACTGTCAAAACCACCAGATGGGGCCGAGTGGTTTCACAACCCAGAGCGTAAGAGTGTGATTCAGGGGAGGGGTATTAGTGGAAGGCGCAGGATGTAACAGAGACCGGGTACAGTTTCTTAACTGGGCTACCCTAATATCGATGGAAAATTAATATTGATTCGATTAGTAATCCTTCATTCAATTTTTTCATTATCAGCAAGTTCGGTTAGGTTAGGTTATAACAGTTTCATTTTATCCCTAAAACACATTTTGCTCAACCCCTACTGGTTGATAGTTCCACCCCCATACCCGCCGCACCGTGGAACCGGTCACTGATATCTGGCCGGCACTTGCCCCGCCAGGCTGTAAAATGACCCTTGTCAAAGTGTTTAGGCAAACTGTACTCGGCCCTGCACTCTTGCACTAGTTTGCAAGAGTGAATATTTCTATTAAAAAATGTTGACAGCTAGAGTAATGGTAAAATTGATATGTCAGTTATTATGAAATTATAAATACCTTTTCAATAAACTTGACCATGTTGTTATCATGCTGGAGACAAGTTGCCACTTGGTGGACCAAACTCTTATCATCTGCATGTGTTTGCAAGATAGCTATCAGCTGATTAATTGTCAAATCTGCCAGCCTCACTCTCTAAAAAACAAGAACAGAAAAACATAAAATACTACCTATTGTACCAGTGCTTCACAACGGAGAGAACACTGAAGAGAACAATTTGATCTTTAAATCTGTTGTTTAAAATAGTTCCACATCAGCCTTTGGTTTCAGAAACAAAATTCAATTGAACCTCTTAGTTAAAGAAAATGAAAATATATTTCTTTAAAGCTGATGAGGTTTAAAATCGCTAATGCATGAAAATACTGTACTCCTACAATTATTTTTTTAAATGATACGCTAACTTAATACTGGAATGATTTGATTTGATTTGATTTCCATGAAAACATACACTAAAACTCATAAAACTATTCTCACAATCATTAAATTTTAGAAACTCGCGAGCAGAACCTGTACCTCTTAACGCTCTTGGAAATGTCAAATTACATTATTTACAGCTGACTTCAATTAATATTTGGCTATTTAAATTATTAAAAACAAACATTGAAATTTTAGAAGCCCAAGGAAAATATGAGAACAGGAATAGGCCTTTAACCAGGCTTATAAGCTACCTTAATACAAAATCGTATTTAAATCGGTTCAGTAATTCTGGCGTTATTGAGTAGCAGACAGACAGACATACAGACAACAGACACACCCCAACTCACATGTGTATACTCAATGATATTAGTATAGATAGTATTTTTCACTTTTGGTCCTGAGAGTGACACATCTCACACATTTCATGGGAAGATATATAGTTGTTTACAAGCAAGGCAAAGCCTAGTTTGAATCATTGTTTTATTATTTATCGTAATAAAAGAGTAGTTAAGTGTTTCTGTTGAGCGAATCTGTAACCATATTGGTTTGGAAAAGGTAAACAAATCCCTGTGCAAACATTCAGGGCAGTTTCCCTTACTACTAAAAAGTTTTCCTCCCCAAATCACCATATTATTGCTAATGCTCATAAATTGATAGATTTCAGCTATCGCGGCAAAATCTGTAATTGTCTCTCATGATAGCGGAGCGGCAATAATCGTGATTGTTTTTACAATCACAGCGACTCCTTGTGACTAGGGCCCCTCTGCGGATCATGTTAAGTATTCATAATTTTTCATTTGACACCAAAACACAAAAATAGGACCAAAAGCGGCTATTACAGATTACTCAAAATAAAGTATTTCCAAGACTTAAAATATTTTATATTAAATATTTGTTTAACATTTTTAGGTATTCAGTAAAATAAATTGACTCTTGGACTACTCACAGGGATGAGGTAGAGAAGACTAGTTGGTATGTTAGAGACAAGACTCTCAGGAAGTCGATTGAGAGTAGTCTTCATAAGAGCCTCTTGTAGGGATGAAGGGCTGTCATTGTATTCTTGCAACAGATAACTTGGCACAATCACCTCTGCAAAGTGTTGAACAGTGTTAGTAGCAATATAACAGACAGTCATTACGCGCTTGCTGCCTACACACAACAGGCTGGACACAGTATTAGTAAAAAAGACATTAAAAATAACCTCAGGTTGCTCTTTTTGAGATGAGTAGAAGGAGTTGCTGCCAAAGATGTAAAGCAATAAATGTATAAATAAATCCGTCAATAAATAAAAGCACATTCGTTGATTGTCAACACCCAACTAATTAAAGTGAAGCCAGCAGTGCTGTTAAGATATGAAAATAATGTTTTCTACAGGTATTAAATATTAAGTAAAGAAGTCCTATGAGAATTTGACATGCAACAAACTAAGATATAATTGTTTTATGTCATTACAACTTTTGTTACAGACATTTGCATTATTTGTTGCCAATGAAGCCCCACGAGGAGGCCCCTATCAGTTCAAGAAAAGCCAACTTCACTTCAAGTATATTCCACTACTCCTAACATTCCGTAGAGAGATTATATTGACAACTTTATGTAATTGATAAGGATGAGACAACTAACTGTCATCCCCCATGTCAAGGAATTCCAGCTTTAACAGTAACCCCTCAACCAATTTCTCAAAACTATGATAGAGAGTTATTCATTGGCACAGAAGTAGGATACGAACTGACGTGACGTGACAAAGGAAAAATCAAACTTACACTGTAACGGATAAACCTCCCTTTGAAGTTAGAACATATATCTTCCCAACAAACAGATATTTTTTTCAAATAAAATCATAGAATAATCTGCATTACACTGATGAAATAATGGAAGTGTTTAACTACAAAAGATCCACCAATACGATTTTAACACTATTTAAAGGTTCTTCCAAAGGAAGAGATACCAGATAACATACTAATAATAACTCTGATGACGTTTGTTTTTATACTTATTACTCTTTAAACAAAGCTAAATGATCAAAATATGTATAATTTCACTCAATTTATCACAGTGAAATGAATTATTGTAAGCCTTGAAAGTAACCGTCAATTTCGACGTGTTTCACCTATTCTCTCTCAAAATCCTTGAACCTCATTGGTCCGTTACCTGTGTTTTAGCGAATTTCCCTATAGGGAAGTAGCTATTACCGTAGGTCTCATGGTAAGACCTGGGCGCGGGACCGATTTACTTTTTCATTTTGATGTCCCCAGAGGCCAAAAACACTAATCGTTCAAATTCATATATATATATATATATATTTATATATGTGTCCGTTAGCGCGATAACTCGAGCAAAAATGATCCGATTTCGATGAAATTTGGTATAAACGTGTAAACCTACGTTTATTCGAACGAGTTCGCGAACCAGCATGATCGGACTATGGGAACAGGGGTTTATGGGGGGTTTTATGGGGTAAAAATGGGGTTTTCCCATTTTTGACCCTAAAAATAAAAAATTTTGCAATTTCTTTTTAGACCGTTTTGTAGAGCTTAAAAAAGAAATAATTTAGTATATTGAAGCGCTGTTGTATGCCTAACGGTCACGGAGAAAATTAAAAAATAGAGTAATTTAAAATTCCCATGTTATTCTTATGGAGAAAATGAAAATTGTTGTAGTTTACTTGTTTATGGATATATATTGATAAAATTTGGCAAATTTATTTATTTCATCCTATACTATTGACGTATAGTCAAAAAACACTTTTTACCTTCCCCGTAGCAGCAAACCTAAGCACTCGTTTAATCTAATGTTATTTAAATAGGGAATTAAAATATGTCTTATTTATGGAAATATTTGTGCAAAAATGTAATAAGACGAGTTGAAATTCGCTTAGTCTGCAGGTTTGCTGCGGCGGGGGTATTTATGAGTAACTATGCTGTTATTAAAGCAAAAAATGTAAAACAATAACTCTCCGTTTTTAAATTATTTTACAAAAAAGTTGAATTAGTGAAAAAATTTTGATTATTTTTATCAATATGTCTATTAAAAATAAATAAATCTAAAGAGAAGATATTTATTATTTGCATTATCTTTGTAAATGTCTCAAAGGTCCAGAGCAACTCAGTGACACATGAGCTACTGCTGATATATCCATTGAAGGACAACTCTGTGAACTGTGAGATAGATAAGCATAATCTTCAAGGTCGACAGGCACAGCTTAGTAACCCAATGTAACACTGATGTTGGGAGCATCAAATATGTTTTGCACACCCGTAATACAGTCCGACAGCACACATTCAAAGAAGGGAATAGGAAAAAACAGTATCAGTTTTTTAGATCTTGTACCCAACTGGGAAAGTTTACCATAGTGTCTTAATTCTCTAATATTTTTTATAAATTAAATTTCAAAAATCCTGGTCTTAATGCTATTTGTTGAAGAAATAACGGTAAAAACATATTCTGATGAGAAGGTAGTTGTCAAAAAAAGAAGAAGAAAAAAACACAAAAAACCCAATTACTAAAACCACAACTGAAAGAGAGGGTGTGTAACATTTATTAATAAGCTAAAATATAGATATGGGCAATAGCTAAAGGTGCCATGAATACTTGGGTTTTATACAAGAAGGAAGAAACATAAAGTATTTTAAGTGCATAAAATATTTTTTATAGTAAAATGGATCAGTTTTTGGAATGTAAACAAATAACATTAATTCACAATAAGTTTATGAGTGCCGCTATTACATGGATTGTGCTGCATTATTTATCAAACACATTACCAAATAATGTATTTCCATAAACTAAAATATATCTAAATAAGCCTACTTACTTGGTAGGGAAGCACAGTTTTCATGAGACTTGTAGGCCAGCATACATCGTACAGCTTGATGCGCACCTGACGGGAAGTCTCCATTGGTTTGTGCTGAAAAAAACTACTGTGAGTGACAGCAACATTGAGAAATAAAGACACAGACATGCTAGAGAAAAATCTGGGTTGTTACCAAATAAAACTGTTGTTTATTACCGTGTATAACGTCTAAGAAAACATTGTTTGATTTTTTCTGATGTTTGTTTGAATAAAGTGTGTGTCGTAATATTATTACTAGGTGAAACCCGTCGAAATCGACGGTTAGGGACCTCCTCTTTTATATGGTCGTGTGGCTTCATTCGATGTGGCATTTCCAAAGAGAAAAACATACTGTAAATTGGCTGTTACGTAAATATTGACGTTTACATGCATTGTTAATCAATGTATCTTATAAATGAAAATGTGATCTAGTTTAAAAGGAATATGACCTTTCTGTCATGACAGTAGCTGCTTAAATAGTATTTACTCTTACGGCCAAAATATCGTGTTACTTTCAATAATGTTACCAACCCAGTGGGCCACGGTCCGTAATATAGGCCACTGCAAATAATTTGTCAAGATAGGTACCATTTTAGGCAAGGTTTTTGTGTTTGGATGTTATTAGACACAATAATAGCACACTGAATTTCTTCTGCAGATTAATAAAACTGTTGGAGAAATATAAGCCGAATCATAAATGTTACAATGCGAGTTTGAGCATTTTTTAACTATGTGAGGAAGTTCCATAGTAAATACTGTATGGATTTTTTCACAACTCTAATTTAGTTTTAATAGACTCATAAGTTTTCTTCTCATGAACTCAAACAGTAAATTTTCAAGTCTTACTTACTATACAGCATATTCTAACTTGTAAATTGTTTGCTAGAAATTAAAAATGTATAGCATATTTATTATTTACTAATTTACTTTTGAATGACCTTGCATTATTGTGTTATCAACCAGTACAAGTTAGGCTATTTTCGAATAAGTTTGTATTGGGGCAAGATATGTTTTATCGAACTAGACAGATAGACATATACATACATACCATAGATATACAAGATACCTACATACTTGTTCCATAGTCATAAATTGTAATTACATGATTTATAATAATATTAATAATAAAATAATAAAAGTATAAAATTGTATGGTTTAATTAAGTAAGTAGTACCATAGACTAAACAACACAAGTATACTTCTCATCCCATTGTAAATTTTGAAGCTCGTTTTTTGTGTCTAGTTCATGTACGGTGACAATACGCGTTAAATGTCGACAAAATTTTGTTTAAATTATTATAGGGTTAATTTCTTGATCAGTGCTTTACTGGGTTATTAAATAACTTGGGGTTGAGTAATTGTTCATGATTAGATCATATTATTTGGCTAAACGAGGTTTTAAATGACTGCAATAACAAGAAACAAATTGTAAACAAAACACGACCTTTGTAGTACACCATACAGAAAAATAATTTTTTTTTTCTAATTTGAAAGAAATTTATTATAAATATTACAAGACAAATTAATCTAAATTACAGATATTACTAAAAGTTTTGATTTTTTCAATATATATATGTTGGATGCCTGCTCCATCTTCGAATTCTCTAGCAGATCTCCATTTTTTCCGAGATCTTCTCAGACACATGCTTGTTGCCCTTAAAATTGAGCAAGTCAGTCTCGTTCTTATCCAATTGACTACTAGGCTGTAAGGCTTAACCCATTTTTCTGACAATCTTTCAGCTAATGCTCTTATTAGTGTTTGAAAATCATTGCCTAGGATTCCGCAATCTGATGTAATCAAAGGGGTGAAAGAGGCATTTCGGTTCTCACAAGCTGTCTTGACCATTTGAAGTAAATAATTCAACTATTTAGTGAAATTGTGTATGCAAAGTGAAAATCTATACATAATCAAGAATCCAAGGTTTACTTTATGCTGAATGTATTCCCATGCATTGTAGATGCTGATGGAAACAATCTTAACACTAGCAGATAAGGATTCAAATTATTTTATTTTATTTTCAAAGTTGAAATTCAAGTTTGCAGATTTTTTAAGTAACTAACATGTATCTACCAGAATATGTTGATTTTCCATGTGCGATAAATTAAAATATATATCAATGTTATTTTTTAAATGTATTACAGTTTTTTATTTATTGTTGTCACACCTTTTCCTTGTTTTGTACTAAACGAATTTATTCTTGTCACCAACAATAAAATCACACAAATAAAGGAATTTTTGTACACTTCAATGAGAGTGCTGTTTTAAAGTGATAAATAAATAAACAAAATTATAAACATTATAGATAAACTTCCTTTTACTCGTCCTTCTAACCCGCTTTAACAGGTATAACAATTACAAATTACAATGATTTGATTACCAAGTTTTGTATTTATAACATTTTTTTAGATTTCCATATTTTTAGATGTACCTACAGTGGTGCCTAATTATTGTATCCATTTCATTTCGTGCATAACTTTTATCAGTGGGACTAGTGGCTGAAACCATAGACAATAGAATAGACTGTCAAAGAAAGGTTTTGCGATCTGCCGCTAGAGCGTTATCGCCGTTCGATGTCGGTTATCGGTATTCGATTCGGTGTCGACCACGACTACTCGCCAGCTGTTACCAGCACTACCACTCTTGCAAACGAAATGATTACTATATCGCTAGTGTCGTCTTCTGCAATCGCGTAAAAATCATGAACATCTTCCGCGGCTGTGTAGACATCATCATTGAATGCCGTGGTCTAGCACGGTCGCGGCTTAAGGACATCTCCCGCGGTCGTGTAGACATCATCATCGTTTTGTGCCGTCATGGAAACGTGATCGTTGTCTAGTGCGATCGAGATAAAATCATGAAATTTCCCGACTTTGATATCAAAATAAAGACTAATCCCAACTGTTCAAGACCATTTTGAAATGCAATACTAATAATTGACTTTCCCGTCTTCCCCACATACTAGACACCCTGGTTAATTAGATTTTGACCTTGCAAATATAAAACAAAACCTTCCAATAACCCACTTCCTAAAATTATTGATTAATAAAGACAAACTTTGAATCATTGTAATGAAACTACAAAAGTATAACAAATACGTTTTAAAAAATACAATAAAATATGGCATTTAAATTATTTTATCGATTAATATTAAAAAAGTTAGTAAACTCCAATTCCGGGGAATTCCTCCAAAGTTGGCAACACTACTCCAAACTACCAAGTTGTTATGGAAACGGTCGCTAGCGCTTGATGATGCAGCGGTGTGCGCCGTAACTACACATTACCCCTAGCGGTCGGCGCCGGAATATACGCTAACCGCAGCACAGCTGACAGTCTATATTTATTTCTTTTTGTCTATGCTGAAACTCCTAACACCGTCAATACAGTTCAACCATTTCGATGGAGGTCCAGAATGTCTTAAAGTAAGCCTACTAATAGTTTTTTAAACATTTCTCCACGATAGTTAAAAATTTATTAGTTTGGGATTACTTACCGTTTTTTTTTAGCGAAACAGTAATTTTAAACCATGGGAAAAGCAAAAAAATATTCTTCTAAACTAAGGCAAATCTAGGATTGCATACTGAATTGTGAGCAGCAAGCTTATTACCATGTTAGTTGTACAAAACAGAAAAAGGTGTTTAAAATCAAATAAAAATTAAATTAGTTAAAATTGTACATGTAAAAATATGATTTAATGATGATTTTAATATTTTCAACAGGTTCCATCCAGTTAACGTAACCCTTACCATGTGCTCCTTGTTGTAATGTACTATTATTTTAATTAAATAATCTTAACAACTATCCAAAATTAAATTTATAAAACACGATAAAAGGCTATCAGATTTTTATAAAATATCAACTTACCAATAAAAAGTGGAGGAATTGTGATAAATAATACTACAGACCAGCTGGAGAGCTTCATCTTGCACTAACTAACTGTTGATAAGACAGCACTGGACTGGGTTGTTATCAGGGATGGAGGACACAAGGTCAGTTCCGGTTATGCTCTTCAACTTGACAGGAAATGTCTTGCTTTGACTTATCTTTGGTTTTGTTTCTGTCATTCCATAAGCCAGATAACAACATCAAAGCTATCATATGTATTGATATGTCATCAAATATTAAATAACACTTTTTTTAATAATATGTGCAAATAACGGCAAATAATTAAAATTTACTACATCATTTTGAAAACCTTAATGATATTAAAACTGATCTGTGCATTGTATTCATAGTAGTTTAAAAACCAAGTTTTTAATGTGATAGGATTCATAAAATTGCTATATTAAAAATGTTTTACGAGGACTATCCAGAAAGTAAAGAATGTTTTGGAATAAAAACATATGGACATAGAACCAATGGATAGACAATCTCTAATTGGGTCAAACAGAACGATCCGTAACTAATTTAATTTTAACGCCATAGGGATTGTCTAAGAACCAATAAGAAAAGTTAGTCCAAAACCTCTCAAATCTTTGGGATGTACAAGGGTTGTTCAGAAAATGTGAATGTTTTGGAATGAAAGAAAAAGTTTGTACAAGAAAAAATAATTATATACATTTAAAGAGCAACTAGAATACAAATTTGCTTACATAGTTGCCAAACAAACTGAAGGCACTTATCAAAATTGTGGACGAGATTCTTTTGCTATAGAATTTTGCCACCTGCAAGCGCAAGCTCAATCACTCAGTGTTACACAAGTGATTGGAGCAGCTCATCTTGTTGCAGGGCATCAAGGCTCTGTGCTGCTTACTAAATCTTCATTTTTTTAAACAAGTGAAAACTCAGAACAAGGTCTGGACTTAGGTTTGGTGTAAAGAAAATCTAAATTTTTTTAAAGATTTGTCCACCCATATTTTTTTACAATTCTTAATAAATATAATAATTAGGAGAATGTTTTTCCACAAGTTAAATTCCTGATCTTTTAAATAATTACCAAGGGGCCAAACCCAACCATGGAATGCATATTAATCCCGTGTCAAAATTACAACTGAAATAAAATTTCCCTATCTTGTTTAAAATGGGACGAATGGATAAATGATGGTTGTTTGAATACAGTTTGATGTTGAGGTTAATAAGCTTAGCTCTTGCCTTGGTTGCCCAGGACACAACAGTTATGTCACATCTGTCAACAAGGCATTCTTATCTTTAAGGCTAATAGATAGGAGTTGTTGGTGGTAGAATGAATGAAGATCTTTTATGCGATTTGCTGTGAGATGTCAAGTATTGTCTTGGAATATCATTTTGGATGTCACCATTTCCTAACAGAACTCTCAGTTATTGCCATAGACTTCACAAACTTGACGATAATATCCATAGGTACAGTATTAAGTTTATGGCCAACAAAAACCGGATTATAGACCATACAGTAGACTCTCTCCTATCCGTACTCCTCGGGACCGAGGCCAGTCCGGATAACGGTTTTTCCGGTTAAACCAACGTCCCCAAAAGCTCGTTGAAACGGAGCGTTTACTGTGGTATTCAACTTAAATTTAGGAGAGCATTGTATTTAGACACGTGATCACTGGTCTCAAATCTTTCCTACGAGAACAGTCATTTCAGTATCGCCCATTTCCTGCCGATCTAGTCCGGTTCAACCAATGTGCTGATAAACATTGTCCGGTTAAAGAGATGTCATTTCTGCTGAGTGTAGTCAGGTTAAACCGATGTCCGGTTAAAAGGTGTACAGATAAGAGGGAGTCTACTGTACCTTAAAACTAGCAGGATTTTCAATTGCAGCACATTTTTTAAACTTAAATAGTGCAACAACTGGCAGCACAACACTTCTGTTGTGACAGCTGGACTGTCATTGAGGAGACATGTGTAATGGAAATTACGTGATGAGAACACGTCTATTGACACCAGACAGAAATGTTCTTGAATATCTTAAAAGTTCTTATTAAATAAAAAATTATAACATTATTTTATTAATTAAATATTAGTGAAATTCTGTCAACCCTTTGAGAATTCAAGAGACAAACAAAATTAGGAAAGTAAATTAAACATTTAAAAAAATTGAGAATATGTTCATGAAAAAGGGTTTATTTGAATGATAACTTGTTGATTTGCTTAGGTGAACCATGTTACTGTGCCATGCATGTCTTTTTGTTGCACATAATTTACATAAAGAACAATCATGCTTACTTATAATTTGAAATACTACATTTGAAAACAACTATCTTACTCATAAGTAGGCCTACTTATATTATACAGGGTGAGTCCAGGACTACTAACATAGAAGGGCTAGCCCAGTCCTTTGAAGTGAACCCATGCTGCCTGATGCTTCCTCCCCCCCCATGCGCCCTTACCACGCCCCCTTCCACCACTGTCTAAATCTAAATCCATACAATCAAACTCAGCATGTGGCCCAAGTCCAAAAAAACAAAAATTGCAAGAACTAAACTATGATAATTGTTGGAATTCAAATACGAACGAGGAAAATTCTAAACCTTCTGAATGTTTGAGTTGTTTCGAGAAATCTAACAATTACAGACATTGAATTCGCAAGTAAACCTATTTACCTATTTACATGCCAATTTTTGCCAATATTTTTATCTTTCCAAAAGAGAGGTAGCGCCACGTTCCCCCACAAATCGAGCCCTGGATATATATATATATATACTAGCTGACCCGGCGAACTTCGTATCGCCTAAGTTATAGGTTTCCCCTAAGACAGACCGATGGAAAGAAAGTACCGTTACGTTTAATTTTCAAGATGATCTCGTTCGCATCGCTCAATCACATCCTGGTTGAAGTTCGTTCGCTACGCTCACTCACCTTTGGGTTGGAGCTCGTTCGCTGCGCTCACTTGCCTTTAGGTTGGAGCTCGTTCGCTACGCTAACTCGCCTCCAGGTTAGCTCGTTCGCTACGCTCACTCACCTTTTGGTTGCAAATTAGCTGTTGTCATAAATGTAAAAGAAATAATAGTGCTGCACCCTGTTGGTAATCCTTGTAACTTTAATGCTATTGAACATCATAGAACAGAACCAACTTGTTTAATTGAAACAGCTGTTAAGATTCATTAATTCCATTTCTCATAAGGTTAACATGGGAAACTCCAGAGCCACTGGGGCGGAGCCCTTTTAAGAATTTCGAAACGGGAAATAGTTTACGTCCGATTCGCATACCTACAGAATTTACACACCAAATTTCATAACGATCGGTGAAGTCGTTCCGGAGGAGTTTGCAGACAAACACTGTGACACGAGAATTTTATATATTAGATGTTCGTGAACACGATAACTTGAGTAATTTTTGTCCGATTTCGATTAAATTTGGCATGAAGGTGTAAGGCTTGAATGAGTTTGCGAACCAGCATGAACCAGGCTATGGAAACAGGGTTTTATGGGGTAAAGATTTGTTTTTCTCATTTTTACTCTCAAAACAAAAAAATTCCCAATTTCTCTCTAGACCAATTTAAAGGGCTTAAACAAAACAAATAATTTAGTAAAAGTTTTTTGTAGGGCTTCTAGTCATGGAGAATATTGTATATTGTTGTAGTTTGCTTGTTTGTGAATATATTATATTTTGATCAAACTTGGCAAATATTGTGTTTTTTATACTAGGCTATTAATATTTTACTAAAAATACACTTTGTTAGCATCCCTGTAGCAGCAAAACCTAAGTACTCGTTAACCTTATGTTATTTAAATAGACTAAACTGAAAATCTAATCAGGCAAATGGAAATTCACTTAGTCCTCAGGTTTGCTGTGGCGGGGGTATTGTTTACCTCAGTACATGTGATCGTGCTAGTTAAAGCCAGTAAGCAATATTAAAATGTATTTCTATCAACAAAAACACATACGGGGTGTCTCGCCTAAAGTAAACCAATAGCTAACTTTTTTACCATAGGAAGGACAGTTAACTTCTTACTAGGCACTCCCCTTTATTTTTTAAGATGTTTGTTTTGGATGGTTTTTAATTTCAAAATTTGTACCCCTATTTTACAATATGGCCGACAATTTCAATATTTCTTATGGAACACCATGTATTTTAGTTTTAGAATGTAAATGCAAATTAATAACATTTTTACTATTGACATTTTTTTCTCTAAGGCCTCTCGTTTAGGAGTTACAGCATGTTACCAAGACAAACGTAGATTCTACATCCTGTAGCTCATAAAAAGTTTAGAAAGAAAATCTAAAAAGTAAAAAGGTCTAACATAATATTGATTCTATTGTTTAAAATATGGCAGATGTATTATCTGCAGATAAGTATCACCATAAAAGCTAGTTATAGTATCAAGGGGGATCATGTAACACAAAATCGATTAGTACATTAATATATTATAATAAATAATCAAAAAATAACAAGTTAGCATGTTGGTAGTGGAGGTAGTTAGTGTCATGGGTTGGTAGAGGTAGGTTTGTATTTGTGGGCGACAGCAGCAGCACATTCCTTGCATTTGTATGCGAGCACTTGCTTGATGTGGGAGACGGCCACGTGAGGAAACAGTGCTCGAACATACGCTGCAACATCAAAACACAGGTTAATGTAGCAATCCCATATGCTTTAAGTTAATAGTGGAAGGTATATCTATTTGTCTAAAAACGTAAACTATAATTGTAGGTAAATGAACAGATTTTAGTTTTTTTTTTTAGTAGTAGGTAGTGGCCTTAACCCTTTGAGTGCCAACGTCCGGGGAACCGGACGTTTTTAAAACGAGCCAAAAGTGCCGACGTCCGGCCGACCGGACGTTTTTAGAACGAGCCAAAAGTGCCAACGTCCGGCTGACCGGACGTTTCGTAATGATCGAACAGTTGTCATAACAACCGAATGGATACTCGGATTCTTTTAACCCATATATTAACATTGAGTCGAAAGTTACTAGATGCGATACATCGATTTTCGTTGGTCGAAATATCGAAAATTCGATTTTTCCGAAATTTTAACCTAAAAATCGCCAGATCGCGCTCGGCATTTTTAGCGCGACCTTCGGGAAAAATCATCGGCATTTTTTGAGCGTTA